GTCCCACCAGCTCCCTGGGGGTCTCTGCAGCCTCGGGGCTATGGGGTCTCACTTGTCCCCGTGTGTCCCTGCAGCCCTGGGGCTAGGGGCTCCCACCAGTCCCAATGTGTCCCTGCGACAGCAAGACTCGAGGCTATGGGATCTCTCCAGGTSCCTGTGGGTCCCTGCATCTTTGGGGCTCTGAGGTTTCACTGGGTCCCTGTGYGTCCCTACAGCTCCGGAGCTCTGGGATTTTGGCAGGTCCTTTTTTGTCCCTGCTGCCCCAGGACATTGGGATCTCACAAGGGCCCTGCAGCCGCAGTGCTCTGGGGTCTCACCAGGTCCCTATGGTTCCGTGCATTCTTGGGTCTCTAGGGTCTCACCGGGTGCCTGTGTGTCCCTGCAGCCCCAGGGCTATAGCATCTCTTCAGGTCCCTGTGCATCCCTGCAGTCCCGGAGCTCTGGGATCTCACCAGTCCCTGGGTTCCTGCAGCCCACGGATATTCCTGGATGCCTGTGTGTCCCTGCAGCTTAGGAGCTCTGGAGTCTCACCAGGCCTCCTCGTGTCCCTGCAGCCCCAGTGCTCCAGGATCCCTCTGGACCTTTGTGTTTCCCTGCAGCCCTGGAGCCTTCAAGCCTTGTACAATTCCTAAACTAAGATGTCTGTTTTTCTCCACTTCTCTGCCTCTCCTCATGTCCTCCAAAGGTTAGACAGACCRACCAAGTGCTGGCATGACCTGAAGTCTCTCAGAGACTTAGCACAGCTTTGCTCTGGTCCTCAGATCTTTGGTACCCTGCTAACCTGCATGGCACAACCTGCCAACGCTGCGTGGCAGGTTGCAGCCCTTGGTTACTGCTCCAGATGGACTTCCCAAGGCCAAGAACCTCCCARGCCCTCTTCAGCTTTTCCTTCTAACTCTCACATTCATATCCCAGGAGGTAAAAACTGGTGGAACAAGAAGTATCTGTGTAGAGCCAGCCCTGCAGTTCACATAAATCCAAAGCATAACCATTTTCTGTGGGAAAAGCGTTTTCACTTCAATCTAAACAGTCTTTCAAAGCTGATTCTCAGAGAGGGAGTAGTTGATGCAGAGGGGGTTGAYGGCTCTTGAGAAGTTTTCCCCTTCCCTTGGTGACAACTCATCCGGCTGAGGGGTCTGATCCCTAGGATGCGCATTTCCATTTCCAGATAAGCCAGGAGGAAAGTGGCTCTCAGGAGCACCAAGAGGCCCCCATGAGCATTTAAGGGTAATGGGGAGCCTCAGTTGGGCTCTCTCATACCTTGACGCTTTCCTGCAAGCTCAGAGGGACAACGTTTTCAATAGTCTGTAAAGATACTTGAAGGAGGGTTTAGGGATCAGGTCTTTGCTTTGTTCCTGACACAGTTTGTCAGGATGGGAGGTGTGTCCACCCTGCCACACTCTGAGCAAGGGCCCTCAGCATCCCTTGGTCCCCCAGCAGGGCCCCTGCTCTGGTCACTCATGGAGCTGGTGGCTGTGGGACATGCAGGGGTCCTGTGGACATGCTGGCAGAGCCATCCCCCACCACCCATGCACACACTGCAGCTTGAGAGTCCCACCAAATGTGGGGTCCTGCATGATCAGACCCAGTGGACATGTCTTGGCGATGCCCAGATACTGGTTCGGGGCTGTGCTGGGAGAACATCTCAGAGAGAGAGGTGCCTCCTCGTGAAACGCAAGCCTTTCCCCTGGAGCAGAGCAGCACTAAGCAAGGGCACAGCATCTCCCCAGGGGATTCAGTTCCATGCCAGCTAATGGGGTCACCAGCAGCTCTGGGAATCCCATGGCTAATGAGAATGAGCGTTTCACCAAAACCTAGGATGAGAAGCAGGGTTATGCTGCTAGCCCCGGGGTGGAAATCAGAGTAGCAATGGATGTGGTGCCCAGAAGGCACCTGCGACGGGGATGCACCTAGACCCCAGCCATCTCCCAACAGGCCCTCACACCAAATTGGCCGTTCAGGTTCATCTCCTTCAGGCCCAGGTCTTGCTAGAGGGGGCAGATCCAGCATGCGACATTCCCAGCCTCCCCCATCTCCTCCCCTCTGCAGTGCTGAGCTCCYTGCCCTGATCCCGTGCTCCCTCTGCCTGCCGCGCTGGAGCAGAGCACTGGGGTGTCGAGCGGGAAGGACACAGCCGTCATACAGCAGGGACACCCCGCGAAACGCTTGYCAGAGAGCTCCTGAGATAGCCATTACCAAGCCAGGTACTCAAGGCCATTTCAGCGACAGTGTGTTTGATATTCAATGCTCACAAAGAAAAGGGAAGCGATGTGTGACAGATGCAAGGTTACACTAATGTGCTGCTTTACATTCCCTGCAGTCGTCTCCCGCTCTCTCCATTAGCATCCACAGGCTCCCAGCAGAGGAAAGGTTGGAGGATGCTGGTGCAGCTGAGACAAGAGCGCTGCTGGCTCCCAAACCCTGTTACAAACTGGGAGCAGATAAGAAAAGAGGTCACTGAGGCTGGAGGATTCTTCCCTCTGACACCGATCCCTCCTGAGGGAAGGCAAGAGGAGAACTTGTTTGGCAGACAGGGAGATACCACGGACCCCAGACAGGGTGTCCACGCCAACACAGAGCTAAGGGGCAGTTCAGCAAGCCCAAGAAGGGCCAGTCCTTGTACTGCCAAAGTCCAAACCAAGCTGACCAGTTGCCACAGTGCCCTATTCRATATTTATTTTCCTGCTTTGATTCCCAGAGTATGGCTGAGGTTGTGACACCCRGATCCAGTTCTCAGGTCCGGAAGAGCCAAGGATAGAGGTGAACGGGGCTGGTTTAAACCCTGAAGACCATGCTTGCAATAGCAGGTGGGTTGAGGGAACCTGTCTGAGCGCAGCAGGTGGCAGGAACGGGACACAGGGCAGTGACCACGTGCTCTCGGGCAGCTGCACTGCCATCCAGACCGAACAGCAGCCCTGGGGCTGTGGATGCAGSTGCAGGAAGAGAAGAAAGCACTTTCCATTCAACCTTCCATCCCATCACAAGGAAAGAACTGCTCCAGTATCTCAGCTGCAGGAGGAAATGCAGCCCCATGCACAGAGCCTCTCTCCTGTGCACCATGTGTGGGCTCTGCAGASTGAGTCTGCAAACTGCAGGGTTGAGTGGACTGCACAGCGTTACCCGCACGTGCTCACGCGTGCACACACACACACACCTGTGTGCACGCACACGCGTCCCCGTGTGCACGCATGTAGCTCATCGGTCTCTAAATCAGTGGCATGGACTGGAGCTCTAGTCCACACAGCCACCCAGCTGTCCTGCTTCTTGCTTCACGGGCYTCTGGGCGCAGCCCCAAGGTCATTCCAGTGTCTTTCTCCTGCATTGTCCGCAAGGCAGGATCTTGTCCCCAACGCTCGCTTCTTGCTGCGGCACCTCCTCATCCAACYGTGGCATTTGGCAGCTCTGCTGCCCAGCAGAAGGCCGCAGCATGCCGAGCAGACAACGTAAGCGGTGAAATCCGCAGCCCGCTCATCAAGGCTGTCGGTGCGGAGAAGCGCCCGCGCTCCAGCCCGGGCAGATGCTCCAAGGCAGGTTCTCAGCACTGCCCATCAGCCGTTCCCCCATCTCCTGCCAAGCAGCTTCCCAACCCTCTGCCAGGCGAAACTTTGCCAGCGACTGCATCCCAACGCCTTTCTCCCTGCCTGCAGCACCACCGAAGGGTGCAGTCGTGAACGGAGAGATATGCCCGAGCCGCTGGTCACCAGAGTCAGTTGATGTTATGGAAAGATCTGAGGAAGAGGCTGCCTGCCAAGAAACAGCCTGAAAATGAGAATCGGAGAGGAACCGTGTGAGATAGCAGGGATGTTCTGGGGGGAAGCCAGCTTTGTTCTCCATCCCTAGCTCTTCAAGGACTATGGTTAGGAGCCCAGCAAAAGCCTGGCCTCGGGAGACTAGAGAGGCAAGGAGAACAGAGAGCAGGGCAAGGAGGGGTGGATGGAGGTGGATAGAGCTTCCTTAGGGAAATCCAGTGAGGAGTTGAGTCCCAGCAGAGACACTGGGCAGGTGAATGAGGACGAGCAGGATGAAGTAGGTGAGTAGTGCCCTGGGGCACCCATTGCAGCACACGGAGATGCAGTAGGGGCTTTCACAGAGCCAGGAATGGGTATTTTTGAGAAAAAGGAGCTTGGGGTCAGCTTGCAAAAGGGAAAAGGCCTCAGCTGGGAGAATACATCAAGGAGAGCTAGAGAAACCTCATGGATTTCACAGGGAAAAGTGTAAAGTTCTGTGCAGGGGTCTATAAGCCCAGGTCTATATCCAGGCTGGGATGCAATGGGCTCAGCAGGGCCCCAATCCTGCTGGTTGGTAACAGGGAGGTAGAGGATATCCCTCCTTTGAGGTCTCCAAGACGAAAGTGGTCAAAGCCAGGGCCGACCTAGCTTTGAACCTGCAGCCCCATGGCGAGCTCTCCAGGAACGGCGCTGGCCCGTGTCCCGCAGTCGCCAGATCCCATCATTTCCGCCTGCTGCTCCTGGCAGGTGATCAGCTGATTCTGCAAGCTGGTGCTGCAAAGTCAAGCACAGAGATTGCCAGCGTGCCGGCAAGGGGAGCGCGGGGCCAGGAGGGCCAGGGGCTCTGGGAGCCGGGGCAGCTCTGCCCTGGAAACCGAGCTACCTGAGCGCTGTTACCTGCTGAATAATAGAAGAGCTGACAGCCAGCCGGGGAGAAATGTGATCTATGTAGCCAGCCGGGGAAGATATCCGAGCCTCCAGCAGCTGCCTTAGGAACTGCAGAGAAGAAGCCTTGCTCCCTGCTGCTCGGCGCCGTGCAGCGTGGCCGGGGAGCTTGGACGCCTTTCCCACCCGTCCCTGGCATGGCCGGTGTCCCCCGCCGAGGACACGGGCTGCGGGCTCAGGGGAGGAGRGGGGCCCTGTGAGCCGGGGCAGGCACGCAGCGTGACGGAGCTCAAGGGCAGAGCCACCGAGGTGTCCCCGGGCTGCGGAGGGGGTGAGGCGCACAGAGCCTCCTGCACCCAGCGCCCGTGTGCCCGGCACCTCAGCCCCATGTCCAGAGGAGGGGAGATGGTTTATATTCCCGATGACTCCGACTTCAGCTCCTTCCGGGATCAGTGCGAGAACCTGGAAGGCTGGCACTGTCGCTACAACAAGGGTGGCGTGACCGTGTGGAGCCAGGGCCAGGAGGAAAGCTGCACCGTGCAGAAGATCAAGGTAAGGGGATGCCAGCAGACACGGGGCTGCCAGCCCTTCCCTGCCCCAGCCCCTGCCYGCCCAGGCCGTGCTGCTTGTCCTCTTGCTCCAGGCTTGGGGCTGCTCCCGGGGCTCCTGGGTGCTGCCCCCATCCCTGGCTGAGCGCTGCACCCTRGGGCAGCCTGCCTGAGGACAGGGATGTTTCTGCCCTCAGTGACCAGGGTCTGGCTGGGTTTTTCCCCAAAAATGGGTCCTGAAATGTGTGCTATTGCACACGTGTGTGTGCACTCGGGAGCCCTTCCACGCTGCAGTCGCGACCGCGCTTGCTCCGGGCACGGGCAGGAAGGCCCTGGGATCAATTACACTGCGGAGAYCGTCCCTGTTGGGAGTCCCGGAGTGTGAGACGGAGGCAGCCTCCCCATCACCCATGTGGGCTTGGCCTCTCCTCTGGGCACAGCAGTGGGTGTGAGCCCCCCATGGACTGACCTGACTTGCTGTCTTGGGGTCTTTGCTGCTTGCCCGGGTCTGGGCTGTCACAAGATGATTAGCAAAGGCGCTTGGTACCCTTGATTGCTCACACACAGTGGCACTACTAGGTGACCCTGAGCATATCAGGAGTGACTATAGGGCTGTGGGCAAGCATGAAAGATTTGGAGGGGCCCCATCGTGTTCTTAGAGCTTCTGGTGGAGGGGTGCACAGCCCAGGAGACAGGCAGGGGCAGCTGAATGTCCACGTGCAGCTGCAGGACTGGGGCCTCTTTGGGATCACTGAGACATGGTGGAAAGCTCAAAGCTGCAGCGCTGCAGTGGATGGGAGTAGGCCCTTCAGCACAGACAGGCTGGGAAGGCGAGGAGGAGGAGTTGCTGGCCCCTCTGCAGATGGAGGGCTGTGGTCCACCACAACTGCTAGAAAACTTGGGCAAAATCTGTGGGTTTGTGGGATCAGAGGACAATACAGAGAGGTCCTAAACCAGGTGGACAAGCACAAGTCCATCTGTGATGGGACACAAAGGGGGGCTTGGTTGATGTCACTGTGCCTGGGGAAAGGCAAATGTCACATACACCCTCCAGAAGGGCAAGGAGGAGGCTCTAGGGCACTACAAGCCACTCGAGGTCTGGGAAGGCTAATGGAGAATATCCTCCTGGAATTTATGTCCAGAGACCTGAAGCACAAGAACACTAAGGATTTGGCAAGGTCACTTGTGCCTGATCAACCTGACTGCCTTCTTCAATGAGATGACTGATTATGGAGACGGAGAGAGCTGAGGATGATCTATATCTCGACTTCAGCAAAGCCTTTAACGAGGTCTCCCATGGTCTCCTCACAGCCACATTGCCAAAGTCTGGACTGGACAAATGCACAATAAGATGGGTGGAAAACTGGCTAGACAGCCAGACTTGCAAGATGGTGTTGAGTCCAAATGGTATAAAGTCCAGCTCATGACAGAGTCTAACTGGTGACAGGTTGTCAGTGGCATCCTGTAGGGATTCATGCTGGATTCCATTCTCTTTGACTCTTTCATTGGACTGGGATGATGGGATTGAGCGCTCWCTCAGTAAATCTGAGGGCAACACCTAATTATGGGGGCAGGGCAACTATTCAGCATGACTTAAATGGGATACCAGGAAACTGATGGACTTCAATGAAGTTCAGACAAGCACAGCCCTGTAGAGGGAACACAAATGATAYCCCCCTTTGCAAACAGCCATTTACACCCACAGATAAGAGGTTTCTGGTCAATGCAGTGGGGTCTGAGCATTCTCCCAGCGTCACCCAGCCTRTTTCATTGGTAATACCTCCCTGGTGTGGATTTCCCCCAGTGCCAAGCAGAGCCTGGGCACAGTGSAAAATATAGCACTTTCCAGGGACCATTCCTAAAAGAAGGGATGGAGGAGATGACCCTGGTTTGTGGGAGGAAGAACTGGCCTGAAAAGTCTCAAACTGCACTAGGCTGGTGCTTTTTCAGCAGAACAGCACCGGTCTTTTAGGTCAGATAAGCATAGTTATCTGGAGAGGCCAGACACTGCAAGTTTGGGCATAGGTTGATTCTGACCTTTCCCRCCTGACTTCCTCACTGTGGAAACTTCCTCCCTGATGGGTTTTGGGCTCTGTGTCTTTCCAGTCCTATCTCACTATGTGACATTCTGTTGTGTCCGGTGTGGCCACCGCATGGCATCCCTTTGGGCATGGTAGGCAGGAGGACCTGTGAGGACAGAGATTTGCTGTAGATCTTTGTGTTTATCTGTTGTGATAAGCAGAGCTTCCAGGAGCCCAGCAAATACATGTGAGCATCAAGTTGAGGCAATATTTACCTTTCTGGAGCAGTAGGACCAAAATCAGCCTCAGTGGGGGATACCAGAGAAGAGGGAGCAGAAGGAGAGGGCTGGATGCTGCATCCAATGCTAGAGTGTATCCCAAGGAACAGAGCACTTCTCCAGGCCTGGTCTGGGTGCAATGTGCAGGGTACAGAACGGGCACGATCACCATATTCATTAGGGAAATCTTCTCTGAGATTGATGGGACCTGCCAGCAAGTGTTCAAAGGGCCATCTCCAATTACTTGGCATTGCCAAACGCCTCATCAAAGATGCAAAGCCTCTAATGAGGAGCAGATGACATCTCCTTCCTCCTGGCATTGAGAGGAGCAGGGCCAGCCGGGTTCATCAATAATGTAGGTGCCTGCACAGACGGGGTGCAGGCCTGCGGCTCCTGTTCCCAGCTCCACATCTCTGGTTACACCAGGGGCCCTGCAAACCTTACCAGCCCACCAGCACAGGGAGGGAAACCAGATCCTGGCACACCTGAGCACACCACGGTGATTTAGCCAAGGCAGGAATGGCCATTTGCTTGGTTTTCAGGCAAACGGATTGAGGGGGCAAGGCTGGGATGGAAACACACCRAGCAGGAGCCCCTGTTCTTGCTGCTTTTTCTACTGGCACTGGCTGCTCCTCCACTATGGGCTCAGATAACCCATGTGCCACAATGAGATGATCCAGTATGAGAGCAAAGGGTCCTTCCACCCTGCCAGCATCCTGTCTTTGTGCACAGGAATCACAGCCAGCCCACAAAGGTGACACAGGGCCATGATGCACTTGTCACCCCRTGACAAGCTGAGGGCCCCCAGGCAGGCAGGCAGGGTCCCTGCTCTGTGACCAGCTGTCTGTGTCGTGTTCATGCTGCCCAGCCCTGCTGTTCTCTGCAGACCCGCATCTCCTGCAAGGACGTCCCTGCCGAGACGCTCTACGATGTGCTGCATGATACCCACTACCGCAAGAAGTGGGACTCGAACATGATCGAGACCTACGACATCGGGCGCTTGACTGTCAATGCCGACGTGGGATACTACTCCTGTGAGCATCCGTGTGCCCCGGGGCGCCCCTGGGTCCCCACCAACCCTGCGGGCATGCACGGACATGCAGGCCTACGGGGGCAGCAGGTCTGGGTGGTAACGGGCTCTTTCCGCAGGGAAGTGCCCAAGCCCCCTGAAGAACAGAGATTTTGTCACCCTGCGCTCCTGGCTGCCCCTTGGCAATGACTACATCATCATCAACTACAGCGTGAAGCACCCGGTGAGTGTGCAGCCAGGAAGGCCCCGTGCGGGGATGCAGGGGCCGCAGGTCCGGGCACGAAGCACGGGGCCAGGCAGCGGCTCCAAGCAGGCTCTGAGCTGTGTGGCTTCTCTCCGCAGAAATACCCTCCCCGGAAGGACTTCGTGAGGGCYGTGTCCTTGCAGACAGGCTACCTGATCAAGGCGAATGGCACCAGTGCCTGCGTCCTCTACTACCTTACCCAGGTGGACCCCCGAGGTGCGTGGCAGCGTAAGGGGAGGCCTGTCCTTGAGGCTGGGCACCCACCTGGCCTGGCTCTGCAGTCCTCCCAGAGCTCACCTTCCATGGCTTCCATCACCCTCAGGGTGCTGCATGAAACACAGAGCCTTGGGAATGGGGGGCAGCCCGGGGCTGAGGGGACATCTCCCAGGGGATGCTGCTACTGCAGCTCTGTTCGGCATCGGGGGGACCTGRCAGCCCAGGCAAGGGCTGCCACTGGGTCAACACATTGGCAGGGATGGATGTCAGAGGCTCACGGTGTCTCCTCCTGTGGTTTTTGACTCTTGCAGGGTCGCTGCCAAAGTGGGTGGTGAACCGAGTCTCCCAGTTTGTGGCACCAAAGGTAAGTCAAGTGCATGGGGYGCAATACCTGGAGGAAGGGGAGTCTGTGTGAAGGCAACAAAACATTGGCCAGTCATTGGAGACCCTTTGATATCCCACAAGGTGCCAGGAGCCTGTCTGGGATTTCCATGCCGCTTCCCGGCCCACGCAGGCTGGGCAGGTTGTGCTCAGCTCTGATTTGGTGGCATTGCCAGGGACACCGGCATCACAGGCCTAGGGTCAGCCTCAGACTGGTCCTGCTGGACTGTGAGCTCTCAGTCCCGCTCCCCACCGCCCCAGTCCATGCCCAGCCCTGTGTCTCATGAGATGATGAATTGCTCTGAGGCTGCTCATTGGGTAGAGGCAGAGCAGATGCAAGGTGACCAGAGCAGCTGCTGAACATGCACTGGACATGCAGACAGGTCTCAGGAACCCAGGCGTCCAAGGAAGCACCCCTATCCTCTGCCCAGCACCCCAGGCAAGCAGCAGGGAAGCGGGGAGCTGTTCCCATGTGCTGGGCTGGCTCCATCCCTGCCGGGTGCTCGGGCACTGGTGTGAGTGCAGTGGGTACAGCAGGGCAACCCACTCAGGGTGGCTGTGACGGGCTGAACCAGGTCTACCCACAGGCGATGAAGAAAATTTACAAAGCGGGGCTGAAATACCCAGAGTGGAAGCACAAGCACGACCCCGAGTACAAGCCCTGGGTGTACCCGGAGCAGAACACGCTGCCCAGCGTCAGCCTGGACGAGCTGTCGGTGCAGCACGCCGACTCGCTGGAGAACATCGACGAGACTGGCTTGCCTGAGGACCACCTCAACATGAGTGACCACGAGGCCTGAGCCCTCGCGGGCAGCCTGCGCCACGGGCCAGTGCCTGCCTGCACCCATGGGGGGTTGGCACCAAGGGGGATGTCCCCTGGGCCCCACTGCTCCCAGCTCCTTCATCGTAGATCCCCCCTACCCTAGGCAACAGGAGATGCTGCCCCTGGGGCACTGGGCCCCCTGCCCATGGGAGCCTCAGTTTGAGGACTGGGAAGAYGGCAGAAGATGGCCCTGGTCCCCTTGCAGCAGGGCTGTGGTGGCCCATGGAGAAGTCCTGCTGCAGGTGACAGGGGTGGCTAAGGATCTGTGTGCCCTGAGGAGAGGCTGGGCACACCATGGGAGAGGGAAGRAGGTTTTCTGCCACCTGGATATCCCTTTGCTGCTGTAAGGCCTTCTGGCCAGTCCCTGGTGTCTCTCTAAGGTTCACAACTGGATGGTCTGCAGGTGAATCCRGGGTTCTTGCTCAGGCTTTGCAGCAGCGCAGGGTAGGGCGCTGGGGTCCTGCTCTTCCAGCCCTGCATTCAGTCTGGCTGCACTCTAGCCCAGAAAGTGCCCCATGGGCCCTCTGATCCCCATCTCCAGGACCACCCCCTGCAAACATCTCCTGTGTGTCAGGTTCATGTCCACGGGCAGACTCCAGCCCCACGAYGCCTGGGGACCCCTTCCCGAAGCAGTGTTGTGAGGAGCCTGGCCTCGCAGCAGGGCCCTGTTGCCTCCGCTCGTGGTCCCTTGTGCACCTCTCTCGTGCTTTCCTCGGGATCCGGTGCTGCTCTGGTTTCCAGCAGAACAATAAAGGGATCGGTGTGTGTGCATGGGAGCTTTCAGCTGGCGGGGGCGGGAGGGCACCTGGCTGACACGAGCTGCCTGGCACCCTGCTCCAAGCATGTCCTGATGTTCCCCTTGGTGCCAAGGGGAATGGGGTGAGAYGGCCAGGATGGTGCTAGCCCAGGCTGTGGCTCAGTGGGAAACACAGGCRGAGGGGAACATTGAAGGGAGCGCTACTGCCTCATCCTGTGAAGGACTGACCAGGTGACCGGGAAGAGCTGGTTACACCAGCCCTGGCACAGGCTGGTCCTGCACCAGTGCAGACTTGGCATCCCAGGGCACCCCTTATTGGGAACAGCTAGGAAAAACTGAACTGGGTCAACTGCGGGGTAGCGGAGGCCTTGCCCCAGAGCAGTGTCAATCATGCTGGAAGCCACTGGACAAGGAGCCCTTGCTGGAGCAAAGCCTCAGTGACGTGGTGGCCACAGAAGGATCTCCCAAGAATACAACAGCAGAGCAAGGCCTTGGATCACAACTCAAAGTAAACACAGTTTACAAAGTTGTCCACAGTTGTGGGCGCTGTGAGAATGCCCTGGAGGACACATTCCACTTAGGCATGCCATGCTCTGCCTTGCCAAGGAACCAGAGTGCAAAGCAGGCTAGAAGCAGCCACCTAAACTATGAGCTCAGGCTACAATAATGTGTGGGGTGATGGAGTCCAAGGCATTCCCGTGCCCTCTGCCCCCTGAGCAGATGACAGATGTTTAATTGTTGTATCATGTCGGCAATTTGTGGTCATGATGATTTTGTTTTTTAAGTATAGGGGAACCTCTGGAACAGGCCAGCGGGACCCTCTGGGCTGCCCAGGCATCATTCTCACTCTGGTTGGAAATCCGTGTCCTGCTGATGGATCCAGCTGGTCCACGTGCCCTGTGAGGCTCCTGCAGCCATGTGGTGCTGGTTTCACCCAGTTCAGTGAGAGCAGCCAGACACAGCACTGCACGTCTGTGAATCTCCCCGTGTGCATGTATGAACGTGGAGGATGCGGGTCTGTGCACGAGGGCGAGCGYGCACCTGCAGGCACAGGGTCTCTGCCCACATATACGTGTGTGCGAGGGTGGCTCTGTGGGCACAAGGCAGCTTCCAGGGCCAGTTAGTCTAAGCTAACAGGCCAGTTAGTCCAGATGAACAACTCTGAGGAGGAAATGAGCTGGCAAACGCTGGGTTCTCCATCCTCCCATTTGCTCCATGCTCCAAAGAGCCATACAGCTGCTGGGTTTCTACTCTGAGCAATTTCAAGCCTGATCTGTCCTGGCCAACACAAAAGAAGGGAGCTATCATTGTTGATGGTGCTCACCTCAAGACCTGCCCAGCAAGGGGTTCAGGTGAAGAGCAGAGGACGTGGCCAGGACRTAGGAGCTGCTCTCACAGCCCTGTCTCTGCCCAGGCAGACATGAGCAAAGCAAGCTCCTGCTCCTTTCAGTGATAAGCAACCCTGTGAGCTGGGCTAACCTCTTAGCAGTGCCGAGGATGTGCGGCCTGACCTGACCTCGGTGGCCCCATAGCTGCACGGCCCTAGAGCTCAGCTAGATGCACTCTGGGGCCCTTCCTTGGTGCCCTTACCTGCCACTTGTAGGTGTCTGCCAACAACCAGGACTTCTGYAGCTCCTCCGAGCCCCACAGCCTCCTGCTCCCTCATCCCTCCTATTCCTCCCTGCTGCCCTACAGGTTGCTGCCCCATACTTGCTGCTGGCATGCCTTGTACTGCCACTTTCTCCTCTCCAGCTTCTCAGGTGACCCATAATCTAGGGTGACCCATAAGCCTAGACACAGACGCTCCCTGGCCTCCCTTAACCACCCCATTAGACCCCACATGTCCCTACACAGCTGCAGAGGGACCTCGCGTGGGTCTCTCTCTGCAGAGAGTGCAGAGCAGGGGCAGAGAAGACCCTGGCCGCCAGGACAGCCGGCTCCCACGCTCTGCAGCTGGCCGCAGCAGGCAGAGCAGGGGCGAGAAGCCGCCTCTGCAGGGAAAACACTGAGAGGGACCAAGGGCAGCAGATGTGCAGCCTTCCCTTCACGGAGGGTCCTTCCTCACGGGGAGGAGAGCAGTCCCATGGAGAACCCTCCAAAAGAGGCAAAGAGCCCATGAGTTGGAGGGTACCCATTGCCTAAGGCACTGGCATTACTTTACACTGGCCTATACTCTCTGTAGGCTTGAGTAGAAGCCTTTTGTGATACCACTTTCTATTGACTGATGCCGTGAAAGGAAGCATCACACTACGCAACCCCCAGCCCCAAATCTGCCCCCCAAARTGCTTTCCACTGCTTGTGATAGAAGGACACAGAAAACCCCAGTTGTGACAACCACTAGCTGCCCCCCTGACGGGGCAGAGCCCCTCAGCACACCGACCCTGTGGCGCGCCGGGGCGAAGACCACAGCAGAGCCTCCCCGCTGCTGCATGCAGCATTTTAGCTCTTGTTCCCTAGATGTGTCTCTCCAATAACCAGGCTGCAGCTTTTGCTGCAGGGCTATTTTTAGCCAGCCCTAAGCAGGTACRAGGAGCCATCTGAGCACAGAACATCTCTCCTCAGCAGCGAGCCACGGCGAAGGCTGCGTCAAGACCCTGTGCGGGGGATGCCCTAGCCCAGTCTGCTGCCCCAAATGCCCGGGATGACGGTGGCACCGGGGCATGTGGATAGGGCTGGGGCACTGTCCCACAGCCTTGCTGCATTATGGCAGAGCTCCTGGTGTAGATGCTAGGGCATCTTCCTGATKGGAGAGGGGGGCATTAACCACAGGGCTGGGCAAAGGGGCCACCACAGATCACTGGGGTGCAGGGAGAACAAGAGTGGCATTTTCTCACTATATGATGTGTCCCTGTGGCACAAAGAGGAAGGGCGCTGAGAGGTGGCATCTCTGGAGCACCTGAGGCAAGCGGGACACTAAAGGGAGGATGCGAGACCCCTCGAGGGCCCTCACAGGGATGCGGGGGGAGCCAGCGGCCCATGGGCCCACAGGGTGAGCGGGGGCTGCAGCCCTGCAGGAGATCCCAGCTGGAAAAGCTCTTCCTGTTTGGCTCCAAGCGGAGAGGAGCCGCCCCGCAGTGCAGAGATTGGAAAGGAAACAGGAAACCGATGCTGGACAAGAGATTAGCCTGGAGACGAATGATGTCAGTCCGGCCCCCACGGATGGGGGCAGGGGGAGCGCGGCGCGGGCCCCTCATCCTGCCCCCCACACACGTCCAGTGCTCGGTGCTCCTGGCACCACGTCGAACCCGTCACACAGAGAGTGCCCTGTGTGTCCAGCAAGAAAAGCAAGGCATCCAAGAGGGAACCTGCAACCCCTTTCTCACTCCAAGCGGTGCTGGCCTCCTCCTGTGGCCAGTCACTACTGGGGAGATGTGGGGACTCTCACGCCGTTCAGGTGACATCTCCTGAGCTTGTAGCTAGATCTCAGGCAGCCATCCCATCACCAGCACCCGCAGCAGGACCACAGGTCCATCAGGAAGCGCCTCGGAACCGGCCTTGTCTCAAGGGCTGCCCTTCCCTAGGGCTCTTCCCACCCCTTGCGAGCATCTTTGCGGAGCCGGAGCATTGCCAGGGCTGCCCATGCGGGAGCCCTTCCTGTTACAAGCACCGTCCCAGGCGCTGGGTACCGCGGCTCTTCCTGCACGGGGCCGTGGAGGCTGGCGTGCTAAATATAGCAACAGGTAGCGAGGTGCCAGAGAGATTAACTGGAAGCCTCGAACGGTGCCACAGAGAGCAGGCTGACAGGAAGCTCTCAGGAAGCTGCCCGGCCACAGCACACGCACACCGCGGCTGCTGGTGCCCCGGTGCTCTCCTCGGCACAGCGCGTGCSGCGAAGCCGGCCCACGGGCCCCGTTCCCGTCCCCTGCTCCCGCAGGACACATGCCTGCCACCTGCCTCCAGGACGTCCCCATGGCTGGGGTCCCTTTCCCCAYGGATGGCTCTGGGAAGGGGCAGCCCCAGGTGGGAATGGGGCACCAGGGCCTGGAAGAGCTGCTTCAGCACCACACACAGCTTCCAGGTGTGGGAATGTCCCAGCATCTCCCTCTTGCCTCGGGCAATGCTTCCTATCTCTGCCTCTGCTCTCCRGGCGCACGGGGAGGGAGCACGCAGTTTGCACCAGGGCTGGGGAGATGCTGGAGATGGCGAGGGGCAGCAAGCCAGGTCCTGGCCCCATTCAAGMGGTGACAGGATGGACAGTGCTCCGTGGGCATTAATGCCTTCGGAAGGGTGGGATGGAGAGCACAGCAGGCCCCCTGCCATCAGCACTGCCGACACCCTTCGCTTTGTGCTTCCAGCCACTCATCCCGCAGATCTCAGCAAATCTCCCACAAGAGGCAATGGTTGTATTTAGCAAATGGTTGCATTTAGCAGAGCGTGCAGCTTCCTCAGAGAGGCAGCAACCTGGCAGGACAGCACAGCCCTGGCGCTCACCCCGCGGCGGCACGAACCCCAAGGGTCTCTGTGCGCCCCACTGCTGTACCCACCCCACTTGGGGGAGATTCGTGTCATCCCCACCCCAGGGACGTGTCTCCCCCCGATGCCATGGCTTGGGAGGCAGGGGAGGAAGGCGAGAGCCGTGCTGGGCCCGAGCTGATTTCCACTTCTGCTTTGGCCAGGGTGGAAGCAAGCCCACGATAAGCAGAAGTGGGGTTTCCACACCGAGCAGCACGCACAGAGGCTTGCCCAGGGCAGCTTCCCCGCTGCCCCCAGCCCTTTGCAGAGGTGTTTTGGCTGGGGGAGGACAGCAAGAGATGGGCCAGGGTGGCAGCCACCTAGGGCCAGACCCTCCAAGGACACGGGGTGACTATCAGCCTTGCAAGCAGGAACAGAGGGGAGCCCTGACCTCAGGCACTCTGCACAGCCCTCGCCCCCAGGGCAGCGTTAGGCAACGCGGAGCAGAGTAACGGCCAGCCTGGGCAGGGCCCTTGTGAAAAGGGCTGCATTGAAAAGGTGGTTGGGYCAGCGGGGTAAACACTGTCTCTCTGCAGGACAAAAACTATCCCTGGGCCCCCAAAACCAGTGCCGGGGCAAATCAGCTCATCACTAAGAGCAGAGAGCTCTCACCTACTGCATGCCATGGAGCACACTTTGGGTAATAGCCTGGATTTGGGAATACTGCTGACAGCTTGGCCATGGGAGCAGCCACTGCAGCAGAGTCCAGGGCTGATGTTCCCCCATGTCTGCAGCCCCTGCTGCCATCCTGGCCTCCCCATCTCACTCCACATCCCTCCCAGCAAGGAGCACCAGGAGCTGGATGCRGTGCTTCACACACAGCCTCCCAGGAGCAGATGGGCCCAGTCTATCAGTGCAGATGTTCTAGCCCATTTGTCCAGTTTGTCCAGATCCTCACGCTGCTGTCCCAGCACCTGCACCCTGCCCTGGGCTACTGCAAACACAATAAATATCTCCATTCCCCCATGGRATAGTGATGATAATGGTAGGTAGAGCTGGAGGCACCTGGGAACATCCAAGATCTCCCTCAGCAGTCAAGTCTTGGGGCGGCTAGATGCCCACATGGCGATGCAAAGGATGCATTTAAGGCAGACAGGGCAGCAGGGCCATCACAGGGAAGGTGAGATAGGAAAGGAGCACGAAGGAGCGAGCCAGGAATGTGCAGGACAGCACTCGGAGGAGGGCAGCGCCTGGCAGCGCCTGACCAGGGTGGCCAGGGCAGAGGCCGAGTGYCGCATAGAGGCAGTGCCCAGGAAGGGGCAGGACGGGAGGGTGGGGACACGGATGGGGCCCGGAGGGCTGTCCTGGAGGAGGGACGAGCCGTGGGAGGCGCAGGCCGGTGCCGAAGCCGGCGGCAGTTCCCGCCGGGCTGCAGCCCTGCGCCCGCCTGGGACATGTTGGCATCTCCCTGGAGCCGCGATCCAGGCGGCCCGGAGCCCGCGGCGGCACTGCCCTGATGCTGCTCTGCTGGAGCATGGACCACGCTGCAGGGCGAGAGGTGAGGGAGCAGCCTGGCATGGCAGGGGGACGCGCAGCTCGGGACGAGGGAGCCGTGGGAGGCACAGGGGACACGGCGTCCGTGCCCATCACGAGCYGGCCACGCCGTCTTGTTTCCCTGAGTTTGCAGGGCCAGGAGCAATTTCTGCTTTGCTGGGCATGTGTCTCCACTTGCAGGGCACAGCCAGATTGCCCCCATGGGCCACCGCACAGCTCGGGGTCCAGGCGTGAGGATCTGTCCCCTAGGAGGCTGCCTTGTGAAGCCCTAGGGCAGGCAATGGGCAGAGCTGGCTGGAGATCACTCAGAGTGATATGGGCACCAGAAAAGGGGAAATTGCCCCATTTCAGGTGGTCAGACCGAGGTCTGCCCTGGTGGCAGAGACACCCAGCTGCCTCCAGCATGGGCCTTCTTCCCCCTATCACCCCTAGACCGTCCCCAGACCTGGTTCCTACAGTGATAGGCAGTGAATGCCCTGAGTCCTGCTCTCCTACCTTCCCAGCCAGCTGCTGCCACGGCTGCCCTTCCTCGCCACGTGCCAGCGGCCAGTCACTCACCCCCGACCGCAAGCACCGCATGCCCGTGTCCCCCCACCAGCATGGACAGGCCCAAAGTGTGTCCCCAGTATTCACTTGCCCGGCAGCATGCACCGCCACCATCCTCCTCCTCGCGCTCCCGGTCCCTATGGATGCGCCCGTGGGCGCACTGCCCGCGTGCTCCCGTGGCATCCAGCCGGGCCCGGCTCCCCGCCGGCAGCCCGGGACGTGGCTCCCGCGGGAGGGGGAAGGGGATGCGTGGGAGAAGGCAGGCAGCAGGAAGGAAGCCGCTGCCGAACAATAGAGGGAAATGGAGGAACTGGAAAAAAAAAAAAAAAAAAAAAAAGACCCAGCCGCGCGCTCGGCACAGATGGTTCGGCACGGCACGGAGCGGCGTGATTCATGGGAAAAGGCGCTCAGCGCTGCGCAGGACTGAGGACTCCTTGGATCGGCGTCCCGCGCGCAGCGGGATCCCGCATGGAGCCCAGGCGGTGCCCGCAGCCGCCCGGCCCGTGCTGGGGAGCGCCGGGCGCCAGCGGGGCTCTCCGGGGGCAGCTCTCCCCCCGGGGCTGCCGTGAGTCACGCTGACCTCTCCCATGCCCCCGCAGCCGCCAGCGCGGTTATGGCCTGGCCCTTCCGGCGCGGCGCGGAGCCCTCCCCGGCACGGGAGCTCATCCCCTGGGAGGGGCCCGGCTGCAGGGCCGTTATCTGCCCCGGGCAGCCCCCGTGCCGCGGCCGCCCCGACGGACGGAGCCCCAGCTCCGCTCTGCGCCGGGAACCGCGTTCCGCACAAAGCGGGGTCGGGATCCAGCGGCTCCGCGGAGGGGCGGAGCGGTCGCGGGCTGCTGCACAACAGGATGTGCTCCCAGGGCGCTGCGAGGTGAGCGGTGCCGGAGGCGGCGGCCRGGCCGGTGCCCACGAGGGCTCCGGCAGCATCCCGCGCTCCACAGCCCGCGCGCACCCATCGCTCCGCGGCAGCCGGGACCCCGTCCTCTCCTCCTGCCGCCTCCTCACTCTCCTGTCCCCGCTCCTTCCGCAGATGATGGGCTGAGCAGCCGCTGCAGAGGCGCCCCAGGGCCATGAGCTTCCAGTACAGTCCTGACACCGATATCGCAGACTGGCTGGCCACCATCCACTTGGAGAGGTACCGGGATGTTTTTAAGCGGCACGGCTACCATGTGGCCAGAGATGCCACCCTGCTGGATGGGGAGGACTTGCAGCAGATCGGCATCACCGCCACTGGGCACCGCAAAAGGATCCTGAACTTGGTGCGTCAGACACGGCTGTGTGGGCAGCCCCTGGAGGCACCCGCGGCAGGAGATGCCCGTCCTCGAGCTGCTGCGGGCATGGAGGCCCCGGACGTGTCCCACAGCCCCCACACCCRCGACGAGGCCGTGAAAGGAGGGACAGGAGGGGCCACTGACGTCTGTGGGATGCAGCAACGCGCTGCTGCACCAGACCAGGCGTCCCCTTCGGAGAAGGATCCTGCTCCACCCCTCGCCAGGCCAGTCCCCAAGCCACGGACGGTTTTCCATCGCTCCAAGCCAGAGCAGGGCTTGGCGCCCACGCCAGCAGCGCGGAGCACGGTGCTGACACAAAGCCCGGACAGCGACAGGACTCCTGGGCCCTTCGTGGTGCTGGAGGGCTTTGTGCCGGGGGAGAGCTCCACTGACCTGGAGAGCCCAGATCCCAGGCCAGCACAGCAGCCAGGAGCAACCATGGGTATAGGAGCATCCCGATTAAGAGTGCGGCAGAGCTCCAGGGAGGAGAAACAGCTCCCTGCAGCTGCGGACCATGGACAAGCCCTGGAAGCCTCAGAAAAGCCCTCATCACCTGCCCCATCCGTGCCACCCCGGCTCAGCCACAGGGTCCCCATGGCTGAGCCCAGCCCTGTGAGTTTGCCGGAGAGTCGCCCCACATCCAACCCTTCCCTGCCTGCCGCGGCCACCCCCAGGAGGGGAGACCTTTCCCCACCCCCTGGGGCACCCTCACAGCCGGGCTCGGYGCAGGGCAGGCTGGAAATGGTTTCCAACATCATCTATGAAGGACTCAAGCCATCCTTGGCACCCACTGTGGACGCAGGAGGGGAGGACAGTCCCCAGGGCCRGACTCTCATGGAGTCACCAGGTCCATCCCTGCAGGAGCCAACCTACGTGGCCGAGAAGCCTGAGTAAGTAGATGCTTTCCCTTGCCCGGGGAGCTGAGCAAGGGGCAAGGYTGGATGCAAAGAGCAAGGCTGGGGTTGCAGAGAGCCCACATGCACCTGGGACACCCATCATCCAAGTTGTCCACAGCCGTGGTCAGGGTCCTGGTAGCCCCCATACCCCTAGGCCCTTGGATGATAACAAAGCCTCTTTCTCTGCTCTCCCCACTCGCTTTCTGCGCAGAGAGGTGAGGAGAGAAATGTGCCCTGCCAGCAGCTGGACTCCTTACAGACTGAGAGGTCCTGGAGCCTCCTGGGCTTGGGAGGCTGCTCCCACTTAGCCCCCATCCTGGGGCTTCGTGGAAGGCGGGTACGGATGAGGACGCACGGCAAGAGCAGCACGGAGCGGCTGGAGGGGATGGAGGGGGCTGTGCAGGAAATGCCTGGGGGCCTCTGGAGCCAGGGCCGGCCGCAGACGGAGCCGCTCTGGGGGGAAGGGGCAGGGATGGTGCTGGGAACACGGCGGGAATGCTGCACATTCTTGCAGACAAACTGGGCTGAGCCCTCGCAGGACGCAGCCTCTGGGCTAGGTGAGCCAGACAGGAGAACAAGGTGGGAAAAAAGCATCAACTACCCTGAGATTCCACCAGATCCACCTCATCTCGGCTCTGCACAGGCACCCACAGCTTCAATAACCCATCTCTGCTCTTCCAGGAGCCCTGTCTGCCCCGTCACAGGCCTGCCCCCCATCCCACAGAGACCATCCACCAAGCCAGGTGAGACCCCCCCCAAGCCTTGAGGGTCCTTCCTGGGTGGCAGGTCCTCATGGGAGGGCAGCTAGAAGGGCACCCATGATTCCATCCGTGCATCTCATGTCCTGCCCTGTGCTCCTTCCTCACGCCAAGGCAGGCTCCAGCCTCGCATGTGTTTGGGACATCCATCACCCATCCAGGGCCAGCGTGTCCTGGAAGCACGGGGAGCGCGAAGGCAGGCTCAGGGCTCACTCATCCTCCACTAGTTCTGTGGCCCCAGCTAGTTTCTGGGGTCCCACATAGTTGCTGCTCTGCAGCAGGCACCACTGACTGCCAGCTCTCTGCCCACAGACCTCGGGGAGCCGTTTGTCAGCCCCTACTGTGAGACCGTCTTTGGACACGGGGGTCCTGCTCAGGATCAGAAGGTGAGATGAGGCCTTCAAGGCTATCCATGSTTCCTGCCATGAGGAGGCCTGGGGTGGATGAGGATATTTGACTGCTGTCTCCTCCCAGGGTCTGGGCACCCCCTCCAGGCAGAGCTACGACGGAGGGGCAGAGCAGGAGATGGAGAGAGAAGCGTGCAGGTAGGCACCAACCTTCTGCTCCGGGAGCTCCGTCCTCTGGGATACCGAGACCAGGCTGGGCACCAGGGTCTGCGGCTGGCAAGTGGGGGACGTTATCTGGGGATAGCCCAAGTTCTGGGAGGTGGCTGGGCGTSCTCACCAGCACAGTTGCAGCAGATATTCAGACATGGCAAGGACTTCCCCAGTGTCTGCAGCCTGGATTGGAGCAAAGAGCTGCTGTCCTGCTCACACAGGAGAGGCAGCAGCGCTCACAGTGGCTCTCAGGGGGACAGGGCTCCCTAGCAGACACCCCACATGCTGCCGAACTCTCTGTCCATAGCAGCACATTGTCCAGTGTGTRTCAGGAGGGAGACTCAGACCCATAYGGTGACAATGGACATCCATAGGCTGAGTGGGACCCAGATTTGGCTGTGGGGCACAAGGAAACCCTACAGGAGCATGTGGAGTGGTGGGGACCAGAGCACTCCCCAAAGCCAGCTCAGGAATGGGAAGGCTCCAAGCTCTTGCCAGGGAGATGCCCAATCCCTGCCTCTTCAACATCCTCAAGTCAGAGCTTTCTGCTCCACCATCCTGTGGGTGACAGCACCACGTCAGCTTTGCTGAGTTTTTCAGCTGTATTAATCRGTGCTTCTTCTTTGCACTGGCCAACTATAAAGCAGGTCCTCATGATCCTGACTATTGCAGCAATGCTTAAGAGTTCTGCTCAGATTTGATCAGTCTGATCTTCAGAGGTGAAGATGTTTTGCCCTCATGTTGAAAAGTTTGAATGAAGGCTTCCCTGCTCAGAGTCTTTCAGCTACTTGTTTTGCAGCAAGCCCTTCCCTGCTGAAAGACCAGCCAGGACCTGCAGACAGGAGGAGATGCTTTTCTCCTCCACCGATGTTGTGTGGGCACCTTTAAAATTCTTTTGAAATCTACTTTCCATGACTCCTGATAGCATCTGAGAAAGAGGAAGGAAAGCTGCTCTTCCCATTTAGAAAGGGGAGGGTTCCTTTTCCTGTGTTGCTTAGAAGAAGGCAAGTTGCAGCTCTGCGTCCTTTGCTCCTCCCTGTGTCCTTGCTAGGCTGGTGTGTCCTTCCCTGCCTGTATTCCAAGCCTCAGCGTGGAGGCTTGGAGGTCATTCCACCCGTTCTGCTCCAGGTGTGAGTCACGGCAGTATGGCCTCATCCAGTGTCGTGGTGAGCCCAGGTATTTTAGCAAGTCAAAATTGGCATGGTCCATCAGAATGGAATTGCAGATTCCTGGGAAGAAGAGTTYTGTAGACAGAAATGCTGAAAATTGCCTTGGTGCCTCTGAATGCGCAGTTCACTTCACCTCAGAGCCGGGCTGGGCATCAGCCCAGTGCTCATGGTGTCCAYCCAGCAGCCTTTGTGGAATAGGGATCCCAAGCTGTGACCCCAAATYGTGTCCCCATGTGGAGGCTGGATGAGGAAGATGTTGGCACTCTTCATCAGCCACACACCCACCTACCAACCATCACCTACCCACTCAGTGCTGGGGACAAATAATGATACGGAGGCATTGGCCAGACACTCGTGACTCTACCAGTGACTCCTGAGCCTTCCCCAGAGTGTCTGCAGCCTGGATTCACAGAGAAGAGACAGGATGTGGTCATCGTAAGGGTGTCAGAAGCTGCAGTTCACAGCTTTTTTTTTTCCTCCCACTTTGAGCTCTAAGTAGGCCTGGGAGTGCAGCTGGTTGAACAAGAGATGGAAAATGTCCATCGCTGTGTCCTCCTACATCTCGCTGGCCAGTCCTCTGTTATCCTTCCAGTTTTCATTAGTTGGTTCAGTGCTTTCCCCTCAGACTGGCCCCAGTGCTCTGGTGGTGGCAGCTCTTCATCCTGCTCCCCCATTCCTGGCACCCTGCCCAGCATCAGACCATTGCAGACAGAATTAGCATCTCCTCTAGCACTTCAAACAGATCATTAAGGGAAGTATTTCCTAATCTCAAACCTCAGAGAGGCCCTCAAACCCCTTTGRCATGGCATCTGCTGTCTCACCCTGGATAACTCCTCTCCCTCTGTCCCAGTATTTTAATGTTGACCCCATTGCTCTCTGGCTCAGGGCTCTGGGCGATGTCAATGGTCAGTGCTGGGCTGTGGTCACAGTGTGAGAGAGGCCCCCATGCAAAGGCCAAGGTCCAGGTGTGCAGATTCAACCCCAAGGGGACAGGCTCTCCAGTGAGAGAGCTGTCCAGTATTTTTTCCACTGGAGTAAAGGAGACTCTAAGCATCCTTGACAGGTTGTTCCTTATCTCTGTTTTATCCTCCAGCTYCCCACAGGCAGGTCAGTTATTTAGTCCTCAACTTCCAGCTGAGGTAACTAGACCTGTCCATGACTCCTTAGTCCCCTTTTCACCATGCTATGCCCTTCTTCCAATCCTGGATCCTTCGTCTTCTACCAATTCTCCTGCATAATTGCTGACAGCCTGAGGCTGCCTCTACCTCAACTCAGTGCATGTCAGGTAAATCTCCCCAGGCATTGCTCTCCTGCAAGTACCTCCTGTAGTGAATTTATTCCCCTCTCCTTGCCCAAAGGAAAAGTCGGGCTTTAGTGCTATTTGTTTTCACTGCATGGCGCCAGTTGGAAAAGGAGAGGACCTTCATGGCCTCAATGCCCAATGTGTGGCAGCTTCCTCTTTGACCTTGTCTTTAAGGGCAGAGCTTGGGGGATGGTCTCTGTCCCAGGCTCCGTCTCTCCAGAGYCCCTGGTACACTGAGAGATTTTGTTCCTACCAAGCCATGGGCTTTGCTTGTCCCAGCCAGGTGCTACTTGTCTGCTGTTTTTTTCAGTGGTTGTAAATCAGCCACTTATTTTTACCACAATCAGCCACATTTTTTACCCCTTTTCTCTTTCTCTGACCCACTTAGCAAATCTGTCTCCCACTCTACTCTGACACTCAAGACTGATGTCTACCTCTTTGACAGACACAGGACTCCAACCCTCCATTTCCCTGGCCAGACCATCTTGAAGAAGCTGGACACCGGACTGGGATTTCAGCCAGACAAATCACCCTGCCAAGGCTCTGTTACAATAATTAAAGAGCAATTTTTGTTGTACTTTGAAACTCCCAACTCTTCATGGCCATTTCTCATATTTCTTGCAGATGCTGGAACCAAATATGTCATTTCCTTCTTCCACCCACCTTCTCAGCCCCATATACTATCCCCCTTTTCTAGATCTGACCCCATACCTGTCAGTTGTGATTTCCTGGCATTGTAGCTGCACCTGAGGGCATCTCAGCACCTTTGGGAAAGGACAAGGGGTGTTTTAGAAGGAAGTCTTTGCCTGGGAACTCATCAGTCAGACCTCTGACCTTCGTGTGCCAAGCGTTTCCCCAGGATCACGGGTTGGGTCCTTCTTTCAAGTCTCGATCCCATCACTTTCTGCTCAACATTTCCTTCACTGAGGGCTAGGGTTGTCTTTGCACTTCCCCTGCTGTCAGTCCCCAATGCTCGCAACCTCTGAGCCCTGTCCCTCAAGTCGTCCTGAGGTTTATGGATCTGGTGATTTCCTGATTCTTGTCCTAGGTTACCACAACACAAATCTGACCTCGCAGAGACATATGGAAAACTAGTCTGTGTGGTTTCAGTCCAATACGTTCCCAGTCAAACTTCAGGTCTTGCCTCCATCACACAGCTCAAGGACATCTGTTGCCTTGTGGCTGCATAAGGACATAGCAAGGCGCCTGTCAAATGTCAAAGCAAAGGTGCATGCAGTATCCTGGCTCCCACATGAGACCRAAAACAGGTGCTTAGAGAAGAGTTTAGGAGCAGGGTATGTGTACAGTATAATTCTCCTGCTCTGCAAGCATTTCTAGCCCATGTACTTGTAATCTGGAGATAGTTTCTCATATTTAGTAGCCCCCTTCATCTACTGCATCCCATGGCAGGGAGTCTCACAGATCAGCTGCTCCTTTCGCATGGTTTTTCAATGCTGTTCCTGCTGGATTTGTCCAATGGCTCCCAATTCCTGTGACTGAAGTGACGGTGACCAGCAGAATCTCCCATGTTACTCATGACTTCGGTAACCTCTTCCCTATCAGTTACCCCTTTCTGAGGCTGGGGAGCCCAAGCTTACTGGGGTTGTCCTCAGATAGAAACTGTTCCACAGCTTTGACCACTTTTCTTGCTCTTCTTGGAGCTTTTTCTTTGTCCTGGGACTGAGGCCAGAATCAGTGTCACAAGTAAATCACTTGTGGACACAGGACACAGCATAGTCACGAGTGCTGTGCCAGTGGTCTTGGCTGCTGACTGCAGAAACTGTCATGAGCGTCTTCCTGCCCATCACCACAGCACCTGGGCAGCTCCCCTGTGAGCTTCTGGACTTTCAGACATTTTCCAAAACATTTCCTTTTTGGGGAAAAAGAGTTCTATGTGATGGGAAGGGGCAGGCTTAGTGGTTTATTTTTACAATTTCCTTTCATTGTTATGGCTGGATAATCTCAGCGGGTCTGGCTTGAATTTTTAACATAGTTTTCTGAGAAAATGACAGCGATGTAGTAGCTCCACCTGTCCTTCTCTTTGTCCATCCCAGTCCCTTTGGAGACCTGCAGTCCTGTTTTGGGGCATAAGGAAGTGAGGCCAGGGGCTGCTGGCAGAAGGACCCTTCCAGTGTCCTGAAAGCCAGTAGGTTGAAGGAGAGAGATTAGGTCGAAGTCCCCTGGTAGGGAGGCAGCAGGGATGKCTGTAGAGCAGCATGTACAACACGTAATTAGTGGTTCATGACTTCGCTTTGYTGGCTGCAGTGTGTTGAGGGCAAGGCAGAGAGGCATCAGGATTGAAGGTGTGTGGTGGCCCAAGTGGTGTCACCCAAGACGAGGAAAGCTTCCTTGCCAGTTGCTCTCAGCCCAACCAGGGGACTATTTTTGGGCATCACAACTCTGGGTCTCCTACTTTGATAGGAGGCTGGCTAAGCCTGGGGCTACCAGTGGCCACAGGACTCATGAGCGCCRATTCCTTACCCCACCCTGCTCACAGAGATGCAGAGACCCAAGCTGTTGAGTGACTTGAGGAACCTGGGTGGGGACAGAGGCTGTGTGGGACGTTTTCTGAGAGGATGGCAGTGATCAGAGGTCCTGTGAGTCCCYGTATGGCTGCTGAGTGGCCAAGCTGCCTCAGTAGAGCTCCCACAGCCCCATTTCACGCAGGACAAGCAGCGAGTGCAGCAGCGATGGGAAGAGCGAGGACGAGGAGACACGAACCAGGCTCATCAACCGCATCATCCAGAATGACACCGAAGGCTACTCCACCGTGGAGGCACCACAGGCCGAGGGCACCCAGTTCAGCCTGCCATCCCACTTGTACCCGGATGAGGTCCTGGATGACCTGACCATCTCCCCCTATGCAAGCTACACGTCCCTCTCCGAGCCCCGACCCACCATGCTCAGGGGCTGGCTGGACAAGCTCTCCCCACAGGGGTATGTGCCCACCTGTGGGCTGGTGAATTGGCAGTTAGGCCCCCATGAGGTAAAACCCCTTTGGCCACAGCTGGTGATGTGGTTGGGCTGATCAGCAAGCCCCATAGCCCCTCAGAGGCATTTAGAAGGAGCCAAACCTTGCCATAGACATCTGAGTACTACTGGGTTCCATCAACCACAGTCTCGATTCTGCAAGTGTCCCTGCAGCTATCCTGAGGGGACATCTGCCCCTGCGTGTGTGTGTCCGGGTGTGGGGTCCTAGAAGGCACCATACACTTCCCAATAGCTCTGTTCTTCTGCCACTCCAATAGGAACTATGTCTTCCAGAGGCGCTATGTCCGCTTTGATGGGAAGAACCTCATGTACTTCAGCAGYGAGAAGGTGAGAAGGGTCAGGAGACTGCCCTGTCCCACTTAGTTGGGATGCCTTGGCATCATGTGAGTTGCCATCTCTCCTCCATATTCCCTGGTTCCCCTCCTGTAAGAAGTCTTCATGCTGGAGAGACCGTTCTCTGGGCAGCTCAGGGAATAGCGCCRTCCCACAGATCCTTCTTCAAGGGCAAGTGGTGAGGGTGATCTCCCCATGCTTCTAGCCCTAGGGAAGGCCATAAAGGGTCATTGCCTCAGACCTCTCCCAACTCRAAGTTTTAGATCCTGCCATAGAATGGATTGGTAGCCCCCATGCCACAGGGTAAGGGCAGCATTGAGCCAAGGAAGCAGGAGGTGTAGACGATGTGCTAAACTGGGGAGGTTTTATCACTGTGGGTGCTGACACAGCAAATTGGGTGCGTGGGATGAGTAAACAGCTCTTTCCTGTCTCACATCCTCTCAGCCTTCCTTGGTGTTTCTGCGCAGCCCTGACCCAGCCACTGCAGGGAGCTGGCAGCTGCCATGCTGGCCCGGATGGCAGGTACAACCACTCCAGCCCCACGGCATGGCCAGCCAGGCTCGCCTGGTGCCCGTGGCACCCAACACAGGGCCCCAGAGCAGCTGCTGTTGCAGGAGGCTCACACCAAGCCCTGCCATGGCCCCTTCCCTCCTCTGCCCCACAGTTTCGATGTCAATATGCCTATAAAGTGGGTCCTGGAGTAGCTGGAATAGAGCTGCGCTGTAAGATAGGCTGCAGAGCTGCTTGCAAGAAGGGCAAAGGGGTAATCCACCCTGGGTTTTGTTCCAGGAGCCCTACCCCAAGGGGGTGATCCCACTGTCYGTCATCGAGATGGCTCGCCCCACCAAAGACAACAAGTTCCAGGTTGTCACCAGCCACCGGATCTTTGTCTTCCGTGCTGAAAATGAGGGTAAGAAAAAAACTAAACAGGGCCCTTGAGCAACCCTTGGTCCTTGAGGAACCCTCCCTGACTCCCTCCTACAGTGAGGGCTTCCCTAGAGCTGCTCTCATCCCTTCCAAAGCCCTGCAAATGCTTAAGGTCTTCTGCCCTACCATCCCTGATGGACATTTTGCTCCATGGCCAGGCTGGTGGGCAGGGCTTGAACCACTTGCTGACACCTCTCCCCTCTGCACAGCCCAGAGGAACGAATGGTGCTCCACTCTGCAGAAGAAGGTGGTGGACCAGCGCTCAGGGGGCACCCGGCCTCGGCCCGCCAACACTGCTCACTGCCAGAAGTCRGGAATCCTGGAGCTGAAGGGGCAGAAGTCCAAGGTGTTTGCAGCCCTGAGCCTGCCTGAGATGTGGCTGTACAAAAGCGAGCAGGTTTGTGCCAATGCRCTGCGATGAGCACAGCAGGCAAAGCAGGTCCCAGAAACGTTGCTGGCACCAAGGGTTGTGCTGTAAGCAGATGGAGTAGAAAGAAATGGAGGGATGGAGAGTGCTTAGCAAGGCCTAGTGCCAACAAGGCTGTATGGACACTGGAGGGGAAGGATGGAATGGATGAGTGGAAAGCTTGAGATTCTTCATCCCTTTCCCATGTGCAGAGTCAGACCTTCCAAACGGGGCACCTACAGTGAGATCTGGGCTTGGAAATATGGCTGGTGCCAGGAGCTCCACCTCTGAGCAAACCTCCCTTCCACTAATTTAAGTCCAAAGATACCTGCTGCAATACCCTCCTTGGAAATCTTCACCTCCTTCTGCTGAATGTTCTCACCACCTCTCTTTGTGTGGTCATTCCATTTCCAGTTTACCTTGCTCGAAATAAGCAGGCATCAAGCATTTGTGGATTTTGCTCAAGTCGATGCTTGTTTTATTAGTGTGCCTGACTCAATCCGTTGTGGGCTACTGAAACAGAGATTTGAACAGATTTGAAAGGTCAGGTTTGAGAGGCTCCMGGCAGAATGTGCCTCTCGTTTGGGGGTATAAAATTTGCAGGAGACTCTGTGTCAGCCCGCATGGACCACTGAGATATGTGGCCCTATCCCAGGTCTGGGGGTCCTGGCAGAGCAGGGCATCATCCAGCCCCAGGGATGCAGAGTTGGGTGGTCCTGGACACAGCTACCTGGCTCCAGACCTGKCATTGCAGGCACATCCATGATTCTTTGGCCATCGCTGACCATGGACAAGGACAACTGAGGTTGCATCACCCGCACGGCCACTCACTAGTGTCACTCTGAATTGCAGTTCTTCAAAATGGGCATTGGCATCTGCTTGATTGAGATGCGTGGCTCCACTATCCGGGAGGCCAAGAACCGCAGCTTTGAGCTCATCACCCCCTTCAAGATATTCAGGTAACCAAGGCATCAGGGAGAGATGAAACGAGGAGATGGGAACACATGGGCCACAGACTGCAGGACTGGGGCCTCCAGGACCATGAGTGTCTGTGCTTCATGCAGCTTCATGGCAGAGTCAGAGCGGGAGAAGCGCGAGTGGATGGAGGCCCTGCAGGAAGCCATCGCTGAGACACTCTACGACTATGAGGTGGCAGAAAAGATCTGGTCCAACAAAGCAAATAAACACTGCGCAGACTGCCGGGCTCTGAATCCTGACTGGGCATCCATCAACCTGTGTGTGGTCATCTGCAAGCAGTGCGCAGGCTAGTACAGCTCCCTGCAGGGCACCAGGGTCTACAGGGGTGAGTGGGTACACGGTGGGGGCAAGCTGGCATCTGCTGAGYGAGCCAAAAGAGGATGAGAAGGAAGACTGTGTCCATCCAGGTTGGCACACAAAGGCTGAGTCTGATGGGTGGGCAGGGTGCTGTTCTGGGTATGGGTATGATTTTGGTGCCSGTTACCCCAGCAAGGACACCAGATGCTCACTCATTTGCTCCCCACAGGACAGCACCGCAGCCTGGGCTCCAATATTTCCAAGGTGCAAAGTCTGAAGCTTGACACCAGCATCTGGTCCAATGAGATCGTACAGGTAGGGGCACTTGGGACAGGAACCTGTAGCCGGGATGGCACTCCCAGGGATCAGGCTGCTTTCCCTGGCAGGGTAGCAGCCTTGCAGCCTCCCTGGGGATGCGGGGATGAGAGGATGCTGAGCATCCTGCTGCCCTGGGGTGGGCCGGCGCTCTCCATGATGACAAGGCTTCCTTGTAGCTCTTCATCATGCTGGGTAATGACAGAGCCAACCGGTTCTGGGCCGCTCGCCTCCCCGTYGCCGAGGCCCTGTGCCCAGATGCGAGCACCGAGCAGAGACGGGACTTCATCTCCCGCAAGTACCGGGACGGCCGGTACCGCCTGCCCCATCCCCATTACTCCACCCAGGATGATGTGCTGCAGGTAAGAACATTTTAGGGTGCACATAACATGTTGGGGTGCTGGGAATGACCTCAGACCTCTGGGTCTGAGGCACCAGGAGTTCCTGCCTGGTTCACCGTGTCCATCCCCATTCCTGGGCCACCCTATGGAGCAGCAGGCAAGGGTGGGAGATGGTGCTCCAGTTTTGCCTGCCTTTGAGCACCCCTGGCAGGGGGTCAGGGAGGATTCTGCCATCTGGGACCTGGTCACTGTGTGTCTGTGCCTCTCCCCAGGCACTGTGCACTGCAGTGGCAGGACCAGGCTTGCTCAAGACCATCTTGCAGTTCTTCTCGTCYGCCGAGGCTGGGCTGACAGTTGACACTGGCATCTGCGAGGTGTCCCCAAGCACTGACCTCTGGAGCCCGGAGAGCAAAAGGCCCAGGAACCACTCAGGTAATGGGGGACGCTCAAGCCCTGCAGTGCTTGTCACGAGAGGCGTCCGCTTTGTCACAGCTCCTGACCACAACAGCATCTCCCATGCGTGCAAGACAGCGGGGCATCGTACTCAATGGGACCCATAGCTCCCTGAGATGCCCCACTGCACCCCCCTTTCAGGATGGGGCAGGGTAGCAGGGCACTGGTGTCCCCTTTCTGTGACCCACCCCATCGCCTGCATGCACCAGTGGGGTTACGCCGCAAGGCTCATGCTGCTCCCGTTTGCTCAGGTCCGTGCCCCACAGGCGCCCCAGAAGCAGGCCCGGAGGGCGTCTACAACGAGATCACTCAGCCGGCGACACACAGCGGCTACCTGCACCGGAGCGCGGCCCTGCACCGGCCGCCGGGCGCCAAGAAGAGCAGGGAGGGTGAGCGGGGAGCGCGGGCGGGCAGCGCGCGCGGCGCCCGGCCCCGCTCCGCTCACTGCTCGCTCCCRCAGACTTCCAGCGCGCCTGGTGCTCCCTGGAGAAGACCCTGCTCTTCTTCGAGACCGACAAGTGCACGGAGCCCCTGGGCCACGTYGAGAGCAGGGACCTCCTGTCCCTGGGCGTGAGCAGAGCCCACGCGCTCCCCAGCCCYGGCTCTGCAGAAAGGTACCGCCAGGCTTGGTCCCTGTCCCTGCCACCTGCCCCAGGGTCCTCGATAAGGGTCAGTGAGCCCGTGGGCATGGGGAGGGCAGGAAGGGGCATTGCCCCTCACTGGGAGCTCAGTGCAATGGCAGGGGGTCYGGGTGAAGGCTCTGGGTGTGCAGGGCTACCACGTCGGGCTGGCTCCCTCTCCGCAGGTTTCGCTACACCCTCGAGCTCTTCCTCGCTGGGGACAAAGTGCAGCAGCTGGGGCTTGACGGGCCTGACACGCTGCAGGCCTGGGCCAGCGCCATTGGCAAGGTGAGCCAGCCCCGTCCTTGGGCATCCAGCACTGCTGACTCCCCCAAAAGTGTCCCCACAGCTGGGCCCTGTCCTTACCAGGCTCTTCTCTTCCATCGGTGCCCAGTGGTTCACGCCGGTGAGCTGTCATTGCCTGCTGGGCTACGAGTTTCAGCGCGTGGGCCAGCTGCGCTACAAGTGCATGCTCAACCCCGAGCAGTGGCAGCAGGCCTTCTTCATCCTGCAGAAGGCCCACCTCTTCATCTGCCCCACTGAAGATGACGGGGCCGAAGACAGCATCAACCTGCGGCGGCTGCAGGAGCTCAGTGAGTCCCGCAAGAGCAGGGAAGCTGCTCAGCTGCTGCGGGTGGGCATGGTGCAGCAGGAGCCCCTGGGTGTCTGATCTCTCTGCCCCTCGCCCTGACACAGGTATGGTCCCCCCGACAGAAACACCGGAGAAGAAGGAGCTGCTGATCCTGGTGGAGATGGGGAGGTGAGCCTTGTGAGGGGCAGCTATTGCATCCCTGGCTCCAGAGTGGGAATGTGTCCTAGCAGGCCAAGCAAGCTCAGCAGGCTGCCCGGGGCGAAGGCAGTCGTGCGTGGGCAGGCACTGATCCCAGATTAGCAGTGGAGACGCTCCTGGGGCAAGAGGGTTGGGGCCAGCACTGCTTACCTGGGGGTCTCTCASTGGTGTGCGCTGCCCCTCGGCGGTGCCCTGCCCTGGTGTCCAGCTGTGCATGCGGGGAARGCAGTGGTAGCCCACCATGACGGCCTTCATTCCCTGTTCTCTGCCCTTGTCGTCGTCAGGACGTTTTACCTGCAGGGCATGTCGCGGGCAGACTCGGCCGCGTGGTACGCAGACATCCAGGCATCGGCGGGGGGCCGGGGTAACGCGCTGCGGGACCAGCAGCTGAGCCGCGGGGACATCCCCATCATYGTGGACAGCTGCATCGCCTTCATCACGCAGTACGGTGAGCACCGCAGCTTGACAATGGGCATGGTCATTGACCCAAGGCAAGGGCATGTGCAATGCGGTTGATGGGTTCTGAGCAGGGGGGAGCTGTTATCTAAGCTCCAGCACTAGTGGGAACCCCCCCGAGCAGGACCCTGAGACTTCACGTCCATTCCCCAGGGCTACGGCATGAAGGGATTTACCGCAAAAATGGAGCCAAGTCCCGGATCAAGGTACTAATGGAGGAGTTTCGGCGGGACGCACGCAACGTCAAACTGCGCATCAGCGACAACTTCATTGAGGACGTCACAGATGTGCTGAAGAGGTTCTTCCGAGAGCTTGAGGATCCTGTCTTCACCCTGGAGCTGCATCCACAGTGGAAGGAGGCTGCAGGTAGGCTCTTTCACCCCAAATCCTTTTCCACACTGTGCTGCCTGCTGTGGACACTGCAGATGGTGTCCCTCAAAATGGGGTTTCAGTGATGGCCCCCGTGCTGTGTTGGCTCATGGTTTGCCTGGCTTGACGATTTTCCCTGACTTGGTTTCCTCCTACCAGCAATCTCCTCCAAGCCCCAGCGCCTGGAGCGCTACAAAGAGCTCATTCATCGCCTGCCTCGCCTCAACCGCAAGACCCTGGCTGCGCTGATCGGGCATCTCTAYCGGTGCGTGTGCTCCTCAGCCACCTCCCAGTTAGGTCCCTTGGTCCATCTAGGGTCTCCAAGGCCATACTGTAGGAATGGGTGTCCCCACTAGGCAAGAAACATTGGCTCACTTGTGCTCTGCCAGCTCCTGGGCCTAGCGCTGGTGTGTGCTGCGGGGTGCTGCTCTGTGGACACCTCAAAAGGTAGAAACATTCCCAAAATTGCTCTCCAGCAGGAAGAGAGGAGATTGGGGAGTAGGCAATAGCCCCTTGCAGGATATTAAATGCAGTCATGTCCCAGGAGGGGAAAAAGAAATAGAATTCTGTCTGCAATTAAGAGCACAGTATGAGGCTGTGGTCTGATTCAATAGCAACTGGAAGTCCTGAAAATAGGAATTACCTGGCATGAAATTGGCATTCTTGGTAATTTGGGGGAATACAGACTGACTTTTTAGGTGAGTTTGTAAACAGTGGAAAAGGGTCACACATGCTGGCCCCTCATTCGCATGTCCCCTTGCTCCAGAGTGCAGAAATGTGCCGACCTCAACCAGATGAGCACCAAGAACCTGTCGCTGCTCTTTGCGCCCAGCCTCTTCCAGACTGATGGCAAAGGGGAGCATGAGGTCAAGGTGATGGAAGACCTCATAGACAACTATGTCAGCATCTTTAATGTAAGCTCCTCTAGGGGTCATGCCAGCTCCACTCCACACTGGTCCCATGTGCCTTCCTCTGTATCCTCCTYTGCAGTCCTAGTCCTCCTCCACATTCCTCCTATGCCATAATCCATATCCCCCTCTCCCTTAACTCCATGCCTCCCTTCTCATCCCACTCTCCCTGTGCCCTTCCTCCAATAGATTGATGAGGATCAAGTATCCCAGATGGATCTGGAGAACAGTCTCATCACCACCTGGAAGGACACCCAGGTAATAGAGATCCACTTGATGGTCTCTACCATGCTGGGGACTATGGGCATGTAGGACTGTTTGGAGGATGGGGGCAGCTCTGCTTACCAGACCCTCCACTCTGGGTCCCCCCTCTTCTTCTACACCTCCTTGYAGCTTGGACAAATATTAGGGGAAGGACCTCCTCCACTTGGTCTCCCCTTTGCTCATGACTGTAAGCCTCATGCCCAAAAGAGAAGCAACCCCCTGCTCTCTGAGATACTCTTTTCAGCCCCTGGGGTCAGGTCAGGAATACCAGACCCACACCAGCATGATACCCAATGCCACCCACTCTTTCTTCGCAGCTCTCGCAGGCAGGAGACCTCATCATCGAGGTTTACCTAGAGCAGAAGCTGCCTGACTGCTGCGTCACGCTGAAGGTGAGTCCCAAGGAAGGGTCGTGTTGGAGGAAGCGAGGAGAAGGCACAAGCTCCAGAGCTCTGCTTGTCCCTGGTGTGCCTGGGCCCGTGCTCACTGGCAGGTAGATCTGTCCTACCACCACCCCACCACAGCTCCCTGTGTGTCCGGCCCCAGGTGTCCCCCACGATGACAGCAGAGGAGCTCACCAACCAGGTGCTGGAGATGCGCAACGTGGCAGCCAGCCTGGATATCTGGCTGACCTTTGAGGCCCTGGAGAATGGGGAGCTGGGTGAGCATCACGGGGACRTCAGGAAGTGGGTGCTCATAGCATAGCCAGGCTGGCAAGGAGGGAGACGGGACATGGGGAGCAGTCTGCCCTCAGGCAGATGGGTGGAGAGCAGGGGGGATGAAGGCTGGTACAGGGGAGAAGGCACTGTGATAAGGGCATCCTTGCCTCCACAGAGCGGCCTCTGCACCCCAAGGAGAAGGTGCTGGAGCAGGCCTTGCAGTGGTGCAAGCTCCCAGAGCCCAGCAGCGCCTACCTGCTGGTGAGGAAGGTCCCCATCGGTGAGGGCAGCTGTCTCTTCACAGGTAAGGCAACTCATTCTGAGCACAAGAGGGTCCCAGCTCCCTGCCCAGCATATCGCCAAGACCCTCATGGGCACAGCCTTGCCCACAGAAGGGACATCTCCTGATACAACCTCTCACATGTTCCCCAGGCCACACTGACGTCATGTCTCCTCCCCTGTGCAGGTGCCAAGCGTGAGACTCCTAAGTGCGGGCTGCTGAAATGCCGCGAGGAGCCCCCCAAGCTGCTGGGAAACAAGTTTCAGGAGCGTTATTTCGTCATCCGAGAACGGAAGCTGCTGCTGCTCAAGGAGAAGAGGGTACCTGGGGGACACAGCAGGGCTAGATCTGTCCATGCACAGGAGGAGAACTGGGATGTCCCTGCAGTCGCAGGGACAGGAGATGGCATTGCCTCACCTGTGCGGGGTCCTCCTCCTAGCAGGGCAAGCAGATGGGAGGGCTCTGGCCCCAGGCTGGGCTGTAAAACCCTCTGGCTCTCATTCCCCAGAGCGCCAAGCCGGAGCGAGAGTGGCCCCTGGAYGCAGCCAAGGTTTACATGGGCATTCGGAAGAAGCTGAAGCCACCAGGCCAGTAAGTTGGACCTTCACTGTGCCTGGGCCCCGTGGGCCATCCTGATCCCTCCACCCCACCAGTCATAAGCCCACAACSACGTGACATCTGGTGGTGCTGCCCCACAACCTGTGTCTTCCTTCTTTAGGTGCGGTTTCACTCTGATTCTGGACAAGCAGCAGCTGTAAGTATCTTCCTCTGCCACCCTGGGGCTGGAAGGAGGGAAAAACGGATCCTCTCCSCAGGTTTATTGGGGCCAGGACAGCCAAGCTTATCATGTTCCTGGGACACAAGAGAGTCCTGGGGGCCAGGCAGAGCTAGAGCACTTGGGCACTCAGGGGCAGAGTTGTGGCGTTGCAGATGTGGCACAGGATGGGGTGACACAASAGCCAGGCTTCAGGGGACAGTCATTACCCTCAGCTGGCTGGGCAGCCAGAAGGGGCTTCAGAGCTGCRACAGCCCTGGCTAAGGGAGCGAGTTGTGCCCAGTGTCACCATGGGGAGAGTGCTCCCTGCCTGCCCTATCTCCATGCATCCTACTGATCCCATCCCWGTCCCCTGCCCCTGCTGATGCTGGGCAGTGCCCCGCACTGGGTCCTTAGTGCCGTCACTGACCAAACATTATCCCTGACCATGACATTGGACAACCGAGTTGAACTGCCCAGTTAAAGACTGGTCAAGCTCCTATCTCTCACTGAAGCAGTGATTTGGTCATGCAGAAGGCCACTTCTTATCCCRGTCCTGGGGATGCCCCACTAGGGATCTGGTTGTAGGTGGCAGTCCCAGGCTCATAGGCAAAGTGACAAGGTGACCTGGGTTCTGCTGTCCCTGCTCCCTGGCACCCTCTCAGCTGACCCCTTTGCAGGTACCTGGTGTGCTCGGGGCAGGCTGAGCTGTGGGACTGGACCACCAGCATCCTCAAGGCTCAGGTGGGTGAAGACTGACCATGCCACCTAGGCATGGCAGGGACAGGTTGGGGACTGGTAGGGCAGCCTGGTGTGACACTCCTTAACCTTGCATGCAGCACGATGACCTGCGTCCCGTGATCATGCGCCGGCGTTCCTCATCCGACCTTGCCAAGCAGAAGTTCGGCACGATGCCACTGGTGCCCCTGCATGGGGACAGCACCGACACCACCATGCTCTCCGCCAACCAGACCTTGGTAAGGCCATGGCAGCTGCCCCTGCTCCTTCACCCAAACCAAGACCAGTTTGGAGAGAGACGTGGTGCCGCCCAGAGCCATGTGTGTGCTTTGGGTGTGTGTCTGTGCACCCAGCATTGTGTGCGTGCCACGTGCTGTGTTTGTGTGCCCACACCAGATCCTCGTGCACACAGGTCACTGTGGGGCATGTAGGGCTGCTTTGGTGCCCTGGGTGCTGGGAAGGACTGTGTGCTAGCRTGCCAGGGGCTGTTCTCCAAGTGAAGCACATGCTGCTGCCCCTCCTATGCCTGCAGAGGCAGGTTTTCCTGCAGCCCTGACCCTGCTATACTCTACCCGGTGCTTATCTCTGCCTGTCTCCTCTGTTTCTAGCGCCGCCTGCACACGCGAAGGACTTTGTCCATGTTCTTTGTAAGTATCTGCATGTGTGAAGCGCTTTTACGTAGGCTCTGCACTGTAGCTCCTAAGGGTGAGGATGCTTCTCCAGCACCCTGCCCATGCTCGTGTAGGCACCCAGGCCATCCTGCACACTGGGGTGGCTATTGCCCTGCGTGTTCCATATGTGCCTCCCTGCATAGTGCTTATGTGCATAGCTAAGACTACTGATGACCAGCCCATCTTCTTCCACTGCTCCTTTTGGTCCTTGCATGCCCAGAGGGGCTGAGCAAGAGAGATGTGATGGAGCAGGTTTGTCCTCCTTTCCACCAGGTTATTTCTGCAAGGGTCGCCTAGTCTTCCTGGCCTACCAGCCTTACCTTGAGTGGCTATGGGTGCTGTATGGGTCATGCTTTCCTCCTCGCTCAGGGGAGGTCAACCCCATGGCAAGGGAACAAGGTCCAACAAGTCTCTGGGGAACCCCCATATCCAGGCAAGGGGACAGCGCACCTGGAGTTTCCTGGGCCAGCCCCTCACCCTGGCTGCACTATCTTCCCCCAGCCCATGAAGATGCACCAGGACTCTCTGGAGGAGCAGCAGGAAAAGGAGGTGGACACAGAACCTGTCTACGAGGAAGTGGGCAACTTCTCCGAGCTGGCCTCTCTGGAGCTGGACCATGAACTGCTGGCAGGCCTGTCATCTATCTCCTCCATGGCCAGATCCAAGAAGACATCCCCAGCCCCTGAGCAGCCCCCGGCTCCAGCACTGCGCTCCTCACTGCCCACCAACCCAGCCCAGAGGGTCTCAGGTCCCTCCGTCACCAAAGCCCTGTCTCTTGAAAGGGGCTTGAACCTTGAATGTGACAAAAGTCCAGCCCACAGAGGGTCTACTGGGCTCAGACCCACCAAAACAGCCTCTCTTGAGAGGAATCTGGAATCTTCTCTAGTGCTAACTGGGGACCAGGACCAGGTGTCTGCACGAGGGGGCAATCTCAGTCCCAGCACAGAGCCACCCCTGGAGATCCCTAAGAAAAGAAACATTCAGCCTCCCTCACCCATCAACAACCAACTGATCCAGGAGCTCAGCAGCATCATCCTCAAGAAGAACGAAGGCCAGCCCCCAGGATCAGGACTAGGAGCAGGACCAGGGCCGGGGCCAGGGCCGGGCCAGCAGGTAACATGACTTGCCATGCCCAATGGGTGGCCACGTGACCTGGAGAGGCAGGGGGACAAGTCACCAAGTCACGTCACGCAGCAGGTACCTGGGCAAGGGGTGCTGGGTACCAAGCGATCCCATATCGAGGCGCCCATGTTGTCCCTCCTCCTGGCCTAACCCCACAGCCAGACTGGGAGCCAAGGCAAGGCTGGCACTGAGGGACCAGGACACCCAAACACGGTTGTTGATGGAACTCCTACGGGGTGCCAGCCTAGGCTGAGCTGTGGCACCGGGCCAAGCCAACACAGCCATGCCAGCCCAGCAGGACACAGGCCAGGGACTCTGCCACGTGCCTCTGGCGCGGGTGGCACATCCACCGCCAGGCGGCCAGGCACACAGGACCAGGCCCGGTGCTGAAGGAAGCACATAAAAAGGGTAAATAAAAGCAGAAACACGATGTCTGCAAGTTTTGGCTGCTGAGCACAGTGCCAGGCTGGAAAGCACGAGGTGCCTACCTGCTCAGGCAACAGCAATGGGTGCTGAGCATGCAAGGACTCAACCTTCTCCCCACACGGATCCTCCAAGACACGTCTCAGCTTTGCCCAATATCCCGTCCCCAGCACTGCACTCTTGGGGCAGGACAGAGGCACCCAAGATATCCCCCACATCCCTTCTTGCATTTACCATGGCAAAACAGTGGGATGGGGGGAGTGTAAGAGCTGGGCCCGTGTGTGCCCAGCACATAGAGCTGGTGATGGAGGATGATGCCTGCTCAGCTGGCATATTTATACCAGTTTCTTCCATTATCTGAGGTAAATAAAGGTTTATTTGTACACCAGCGGGCTTGGTCGATGCAGGGYGGGCAGTGAGGATGCCCGTGGTCCCACGGGCAGGGAGCCTGGTGGTTCCAGGCCCAGCTGTGGGAGGCAGGAGCAGGGTGGTTTGCAGGGGGATCACATGGCAGCCGCAGGGGACACCAGCCTGGTGACCTGCTGGGAAGGGGCTGAGCCTGCGAGCACCCGTGGAGGAACTGCTGCCTTCGTGGTCAGGACGGGCGGCGAAGGGGAAGCTGCTGCGAGTTTCAGAGACRTGGATCTGTCTTAGCCGGGACCATTGCACCAGCGAGAGTGGCCGGCTGCTCCCAACGTCTGGCTGCTAAGATCAGGTCCAGGTCCAGGAGCTCCAGTGGCCTTTGGGAAAGTTACAACAAACCTCCAGTCCAAGGGTTTTTTTTCTGAGTATGCCTCATGCCAGTTTAGGATGTGTATCCAGGTAGGGGGCTGTGCCGGGGCCCGGCTGGCAGCTGGGAAGAGCTCTGCTCCCAGGGCACAGTCTGAAGGACAGCACGTCCCAGGTGCTTCGGCTGCTGTGTCTGTGATGCTGACGTGACACTGGGAGGCATAGCTGGGTCCAGCCCACAGCCCCCTGCCTACGGCTGGCTCTGCTCGCTGGACCTTAGGGGTAAGGCCACCTTCTCAGAGGCCTTCCCTGTCGAGGTCCTCAGCTGCCTGGGGCAGCAGGTGCCTCCATCCCAAAAGCAGGCCCGGAAATCCCTGGAGACATAGAAGTAGATGAAGGGATCAAAGCAGGTGTTGAAAGCGCTGAGCGCCAGCGCCACGGTGTACCAGATGTAGGTGACGTTGAGGCAGGCCGTGGCACCCAGTACGTAGTGGTTGAAGAGCAGCACATTGCTGGGAGTGAAGCAGAGGATGAAGACCAGGAGGACCAAGCCCAGGACACGCACCACATGCCCATACTGCCTCCCCTTGGCCAGGAGCCGCACCACGATGCAGCCATAGGAGAGGGTCATGAGCACGAAAGGCAGGCCAAAGCCCAGCACTATCAGCAAGAGGAAATAATAGAAGAAGAACTTCTGATCATGCTTGTCCAGGACGTCGTGGCACGTGGTGATGTTCAGCTTTGAGATGTGCTTTGTCTGGGGGCTTAAGAGCAGAGGGCTCATGCCCAGCCCCACCGCCAGCCAAATCCCCACAGAGACACACACTCTGCCCCACATCCACTTGGATCCCTTCCACAGGAATGGGTGCACCACAGAGATGTAACGCTCCAGGCCAATGCAGGTGAGGAAGAGGATGGAGCTGTACATGTTCCCATAGAGGAGGGCCACCATGGTGCGGCACAGGTAGTCCCCAAAGAGCCATTGGTTGCCCAAAAGGTAGTAGGAGATCTTGAAGGGCAGCAGGAGGGCAAAAAGCAGGTCAGCACTGGCCAGATTAAGGAGGAAGAAGGTGGTGGGACTTCTCCTGAACTTGGTCACCAGAACCCAGAAGGCAAGAGCATTGGCTGGCAGCCCCACAAGCAGCACCACGGAGTAGAGAGCGGGGAGGACACGAGTGGTCACAGTGCTGTTGAGAAAASTTTCCACAGAAGCGCTGGGGCATTCAATCTCTTCTTTGGGAGTGAGGGGTATCAAGACTCGCCCTTTGCCGTGCACTGAGGAGGACAGAAGGAATTAGTCTTGTCCAAGAGCACCCTCCCATGGCCCCCTCCAATCCGGGACCTTGTAGGGAACTGTCTMTCCCAGCAGAGCAGCCAGCAAACGCAAGAGCTGACATCTCCCTGGTCAACACCAAAGGGCACCTTGGGACTCAGGAGTCCTGCATCCTAGTCCCCAACATCCTGGTTCCTGGGGATGTTCAACGTATCTCATCTGGGGCAAACTCTGCCCTTGCTGGCACTGTGCTCCCAAGCTGTCAAAGCACTATCAACCCCAAGGGTCTCATTCCTGCCCCACACATACCACGCATGAAAGACTGTGGAGAAGCAACATCACTAAGGAAGACACTGTGTGATGAACAAGGCAAAAACATGGAGCCACAGAGCTGCTCCTGTCAAAGAGCCATGCCRTACCCTGCTCGTGACATGCCACTCACCCAGCACTGCGGTCATCCCAGTGCCAACCCAATCTGGCTTGGAGAGGAAGAATAACCCAATCCAGAGCCTACAATGGGTGCTCACACACGCGTTCCATCTCCCTGACAACATTCCTGTTCCTAGTACATTCATGCCAGGATGTACCTAGCACTGGATTCCACCAAAGGACCTGGAAGTACCATTGAATATGTCCAGATGCTCTGGGGGAAACTTCATCTTTTTAGGRCTTTGGGCTCAGCTCTGTTCAGAGATGACCCAAATCTATAGTTGGGTCTAGCACACAATAAGTCCCTCCAGAAATGCAGTGGGTATAAGAAGGGTTAAGTGGCCCAGGAAGAAGCGGGGATCCTGTCCATGCTGAGATGGCAGTGCCCCAGTAACATACAAGGTGGCCAAAAGCAGCTGTGGGAGAGCCTCGACTTCAGCTGCAGAGCACTCACATACCCGGTCTCTGACAGACAGACATGCTGCCCACGCCAGGGCAGATGCTCTCCCATGTGGGCAGTCCCAAATCTCTTGCCCGTTCCCCTCCGCCTGCCCCTTGCAGCCTCCTCCGCAGCCCAGCCACAGCTGCGCACCCCCCTGCTGCCTGCGGTCTCACCCTACGCACAGAGCACAAGCACGGAACAGGAAGATCTTGGATCACATGAAGAAAAAAATGAAAACACAGATCAAATTCCTTTTGTTAATGTTTTTTCACTCTAAAAGCACAACCAGGCTCAGCCTGCCTGCACGTCACCCCGGCATGTGTGAGCAGGTCCCCTCTCTGATCCACCACAGAGCTACACGGACCCTTCCTAAAGCCTTCCCTCTACTCGACTGCACAGCTCCCAAAGGTTAATCCCAGATGTTCTTTTTTTGGCCTCTGCCAACTGGCACTGCCAATGTCCCACATTGGGGGATGGCCATGGAGGTCCCCTGAGCCTAAGCACATGGAGCAACCAGGTGTCTTGAGTGACTGCGCCTGTCACCATTGCAAGCCGTGCAGGTTGCACTACGTGCCCTGGATCTGCGGGCAATCGAACTGCCCGTTGAGCAGGCACACAGTGAGTTCTGGTGGGGACGAGGCTCCGTTTCGCTGCTCATACACAGTGAGCACAATCTGCCACGACAACTGGGTCCAAGGAGCCACGAGAGTCCCGAAGCGCCATGTCCAACTCTGGGACTGCGAAGTAAYGCGGGCACCTGCACCAGCATGGGCACAGGGTACATCATGCCATGCAAGAACACATCCAGGACAGTGTGTTCTGGTATGGGACTTAGGAGAAAGTTTGCTGGCTCCAGTTTAGCCTGAGATGAACAGCCCCAGCTCTGAAACCCTAKAGATTTACAGATGGTCTCCAGAACACCTGGGGAGGACACCAGGGCACCWGTTATGTCCAAGAGCTTCCTGCAGGCCCTGCTGCCTCTGCCCTTCCCACTTGTGGAGGAGGCAGAGGAAATTTCAGGTTACAGCAGCCATAATTTTATCTTTGCTGCTATAGGGAGGAGAAGAGCAGCTGAGCCTCAGGTCACCACTTGGGCTTTCAATATGGACAGTAAGGAAAAAGAGCAGTAGATCTGTCCTCCAACCCATGCTCTTCCACTCTGCCCCATTGCCTCCCAGGTGCCACATGACCCCGCAATCCAGTGAGCCCTTCCTGGCCTTCCTTACCCATCTCCCCAAGAAGGATCTTCCCCAGAAAAATGTAGTGAGACTTACCAGGGCGCTTGGCTGTGGAGACCTCAACAGCCGAGCAGAGCCAGGTGCAGCCAAGCAGGATGGAGACATAGACGGCAGCAGAGGCGGGAGCAGGCAAGAAATACATATCTGTGGTGGGGCCTCTGCGATGACTGCTGCTGGCTGTCTTCTAGGGTCCAGAGAAGTGCCATCAGCAGGGGCTGGCCCCAGACTGTGAGTCACTGCAACATGTTCAGATACCGGCCCCCTCCTACAGCAGCCTTCCTCTTTCCTTTCCACTCTGCGTCTGGGGGCTGCTTTCTATTCCCGAGGCCTGAGAAGCAAGAGTAATGATCAGGAAGTTGGAAGTGGAGACAACTGCAAACTGCAAGCTGTCCCCAAGAGCTCAGAGCTGACACTGGATAGAGGATGTCACCGAGACATGCGACGTTAGGGTGATTTCCCATCAGTCTCGTGCTGTTGGACGCAAAGAGGAGGAAGCAGTTGTGGTGCAACCATAAAAAGACATTTTACAGACTGCAACGAGCAGGTGCACTGATACGTGCCCTGTAAATGTATGGCAGGAGGGTCAAGGCTCTGGGTGCCAAGCCCCATCACAGAAGAGTGCTGGTCATGGGGCATATCCTTCTGTTCCCACACAAGAGAACCCCAAGGTGCAGGGCAGTCTCACCCCTACTTGGCCATCCCAGGGAGGCTCTGAGGACCAGAAGCTCCCAGGTCCCTTGTGTGTGATCATTTTGCTTGGGTAGATGAGCCAGTATCACCCCCACAGGCTGCCCTGCTTCATCGCAGCTGTGCCATCCTCTTCCTGCCACCCAAATGGGTGGTGGATGGCCCCCATATCCACCCTCCTAACTCCCTGGAGTTGCTATGAAGTAGTTGTGGAAGCAAATAAGAGACTCCAGGCAAACCTGGAAATGTGCAGCTTCTTCCAATGGATGCCAGGTACCTGCCATACACACATGCCATTGCACTGCACACATGCACCCAGGGCAGGATCCCGATGAGTTCCAGGCCAGGCATCCTCCGTGTGAGTCACAGAGTGGTTGAGGTTAGAAGGGACCTCTGGAGATCATCCAGTCCAACTCGTTCTACTCAAGCACGGTCACCTAGAGCACGTTGCACAGGATCATGTCCAGGCAGGTTTTGAGTATCTCCAGAGAAGAAGATGCCAGAACCTCTCTGGGCAATCTGCTCCCATAYTCTGTTACCCTCACAGTCAAGACCTTTTTCCTCATATCCAGATGGAACTTGCTGTGTTTCACCTTGTGGCTATCTCTTGTCCTGTCGCTGGCGACCACTGAAAAGAGTTTGGTCCCATCTTCTTTRCACCCTCCCTTCAGGTATTTGTACACACTGATAAGATGCCCCCTCAGCCTGCTCTTCTCCAGGCTAAGCAGGCCCAGCTCTCTCAGCCTTTGCTCATATGGCAGATGTTTCAGGCCCCTGATCATCCTCATAGCCCTGCACTGAACTCTCTCCAGCAGCTCCACATCCCTCTTGTACTGGGGAACCCAGAACTGGACTCCAGTTCTAGGTGCAGGACTCTACACTTGCCTTTATTGAACTTCATGAGGTTCATTGATGAAGAAGTTCAATAGGACTGCACCCTATACAGCTCCCTGGGGGACACCACTAGCAACAGGCATCCAGGTTGACCGTGTAGCACTGGTCACAACTCTCAGAGCTCTACCATTCAGACAGTTCTCAATCCACCTCATGACCCACTCATCTAACCCACACTTCCTAAGCTTGCAAATGTGGATGTTATGGGAGACAGTGTCCAAAGCCTTGAGCTGTGCTTTGATGACTGCTCTGTCCCTATAACTCCGTAACTCCTTCCTCCATCTCGCCTAGTTTAAGCCCTCCTTTCCAGGACAGCCAACTTGTTGGCAGACACACATGCCCCTCTTAGCGAGATCCCATCTCTCCCCATCAGCTGTCTATCTTCAAACTGTGGCCCACGGTTGTAGAAACCAAAACCTTGTTGCCAACACCAGCGGTATAGCCAGGTGTTAACCAGGAAAATTCATTTACTCCTTTTCCCATCTTTCCCCTTTTTCTTTGAGGAGAAAAASACCTGGGCTTCCAGATCCTTGACCACCATCCCAAGCTCTCCTCTTTGATGATTTGCCCTTGRTATCATTAGCACCCACATGGAAGAGCAGCAGAGAGGAAGAAGTCAGACATATGGACAAGTCTTGGCAGTCTCTCCATGACAACTTGTATTCGAGCCCTTGGCAGGGAACAGACCTCTGTRGAGAAGGAGCCAGGTTGGCAGGTCGGTGCTTCCATTCCCTGCAGTGGGGAATCTCCTACAGCAATCACTCGTCCCATGAGTCTTCCAGCTGTTCCCATTAGGCTGCCAGTTCAGCTGCTTCCTTGAAGCCTTGCCTAGTTCCTCTTCACCCTGGAGGGCAYTAAACCTGTTCCTCAACTTCAGGTCTTCAGGAGGAAGAAGCACCTTTCTCCTCCTACAAGAAGTGACCAGGTTCCCACCTTCTTTTACAGAGCCATGACATAATGTTTCGCATGGCACAGAGCTCTCTGGCAGCTCCATGGCAGTGGATGGTTGGGACTTCTGGAGTTCACTGATCCCCAAGAATAACCTACAGAATCACGGAATCCTTATGGTTGGGAAAGACCTTCAAGATCATGGAGTCCAACCATAAGCCCCTCCACACCATGGCTGCTAAACCATGCCCCTAAGCGCCTCATCTGCAGGTTTCTTGAACACTACCAGGGACGGTGACTCCGCCACTTCCCCGGGCAGCCTTTTCCAACGCTTGACTACTCCTTCCGTGTAGAAACTCGCCTAACATCCAACCTGAACCTCCCCCTGGGCAACCTGGCGAGACCCTGCCCGTCTCCTGCGCACCCTACCCCGTCACTCCGCCCCCCGACGGCACGATCCGCGGGGCGAGGGCGGAGCCTCGGGGAGGGGGCGGGGCTAAGGGGGGCGTGGCCCGGGGCGGGCCGCGCCGTCGGGGCGGGGCCGCTCGGGCAGTTCCGGGCTGGGACACGCGTCGGGGGGCCCGGAGCGGAGCCCGCGGGGCGCCAGGATGCAGCCGCCGCCGCGCAAGGTGAGCGGGGCCCTCCCCGTCCAYGTCCCCGTCCCCATCSACGTCCCCGTCCCCATCCACGTCCCCATCCGCCTCCSTGGCCCCATCCGCGTCCCTGTCTCCGTCCGTGTCCCTGTGCCCGGYACCGCGCCGGGAGCTCGGGCTCRCGAGTGGCGCCTCGCGTCGGGAGTGGGTCGGGCTGTCCCTCGGGCACCCGTGGGTGCCCCCGCGCGGGTGGCACCTTAGGGCGCRCGGCCCGAAGGGCTTCCCGCCGCCGCCCCGCAGGTGAAGCTGACGCAGGAGGTGAAGCTGCACTTCGTGGAGCAGCTCTGCAGCCTGCAGAGCAAGCAGCAGCGGGACACGGAGCTGCTGGAGGACATCAGGTACCGCCCCGGGGGGACCGCGCCGCCCTCCCAGCTGAGACCGGCCAGCTCAGTGCACTGCTGGCGCTGCGTCCTGCTCTCCCTAGGGTGTGCAGAGCCTCTGCCCTCCTTCTGGCACGGCAGGAAGGGAGAGGGGCTGGGGAAGGGGGTTACAGCCCCCGTGCCCCTGCTCAGTGCCCCGGTGCGGGAGGGCCCTGCTGGCGGGGGCTGCATCCCGCGCCGGGCAGCAGGGAGGCCGGCAGGGAGGCCGTGGCCGGAGCGGCCGCAGGGCCGCGCTTCCGCGGATGCTTCTAGCGGCTCTGTAGAGGTCAGCGGCCGCCCTGGCGGGGAGCCGGCTCCCTGCGGCCACCGCGGCGCCGCGCGCCCCTCGCCTGCCTCCCGCCGCAGGCACCCGGCTGATGTGGGGGGCTGAGGCCYGCCAGCTCATCTCACGTGTGAGGTGCCCCCCACCGCGCGCTCAGATGCGTGTGCTGCGTCTCCTCTCCCTGCAGGTCCTACAGCAAGCAGAGGTCAGCGATCGAGAGGGAGTACGGGCAGGTAAGGGGGGAGCACCGGCCTCCTCGCTCATCCCGGGGCCGCGTCAACCCGCAGCGGGGCCGTGTCTGCTCACACCGGCAGCAGGGCTCCCACCGGCACCGGTTCCCCCCTGCCCATAGCCAGGGGCAGCCCTCGGCTCCCCGACCTCCTCCGCTCTTGSAGCCTCTCCTGCACAGGAGCCTGGGCAAGGGTGCTGCATTCCCGGGGATCTGCCAGCCGAGCTGGGCCAAGCGGCTCCGGAGCCGGGTGCTGGGTCCCCTCCAGGGCATGGAGAAGCTCTGGGCTTGTGTCTCGGAGCAGCGCACAGCCCTGCGCACGTCACACATTGGGGTTTTGCTTGCAAATATGAGATACTATTTGAGCCAAGCAGGAGGTTGCTGTTGTATCCAGATCTTTACTCGTCTCCTTTTCCCGTGCGAGATGGTGCTCTCTGGGATCCACTCACCGTTCCAAAGGGAAGGATCAGCGCTTTCCCTCCTGGGCGGGATCGATCGCCCTGCTGAGGGACTTCGCTGAGCACAGCACAAACCCAAGCTCTGTGTTTTGGGGGCTGGGAGGGAAAACCTGGGAGTGGGAAGGAAATAATCCAACTCAGACATCTGCTTAACCAGGGTAATTAAGATCTTGCCAGACTCTCTTGAATATCCGAGCCCAGGTTGTGTTGCTTGAGGCATCCTGTGCTAGAAGTGGGGACTGCCACAACATCTGTGTGCCACCCCAAAGGGGCTGCAGATACCCGGCAGGTGCCCAGCATCCCTCCCTGCCCTTCCTTCCCTCTCTCTAGGACGGCGCTCCGGAGCCGGCTGCGCTCAGCCTCGCCCCTGCCTCCGCCTGGCTCCATTCCGCCTCCCGCGCATGGCACCCGTCGCTGCGCTGCCCCGCTCCGGCCTAACCTCCTCTCCTCTCTCCTGGTGGCCGCTGGGTGCTGGCAGGTGGCTCGGGGGACCCCTGGCCCCGAGGGTGCAGCTAACTCCCCGCTCAGCCCCGCGTGAGTACCCGCAGCGGCCTCTCGCTGCCTCTCTGCTGCTGCCCCACTGCTTCCTTGGCATCTTTCCTGGCTTGGTGCCCTGCGCCGGGTCCGTGGTGCCATCTCCAGGGAACCTGGATGGGTTTGGACACACAGGTCCCTGGACCTTGGGCTTGGAGGGGGACGGTCCCCCATGTGCCGCATGTTCATTTCCTTATGGGCTCACGTGTGGTGGTGGCTTCTCTCTGGCTTCTTTACCCAGTTATTGCCTCTGCAGCCCCTGCTCCCTCCCGCCTGTTTTTGGCCACTTGCTGTCCCCCTACCAGCCTTCCTTCTCAGAGCCTGTGAGACGGGGCCTTTTGTCACGGTGGCTGGACCGAATCTGCTTCTCCGGGTCAGCCAGGGGCTCTTCCCGCCTCCAAACCTGCACATGCTGCCTGGTGTCACCTTAGCTGCGAGATGCTCTTGGGATGTGGGGCTCTGACCCAACCCCGCGGGCACCCCAGTGGGTCCCACACCCGAGGACTTTGTGTCCCTCCTCTGCATGGCTGCTTTGGGCCAGCTCTGCCCTCTCCTTCGGGCCCCTGAACGCACCAGCAGTTAAATGAAGGCTGTGGGGTGCCCTAAGCCCTGCTCATTGCAGCAGTGAGGGAGGAGGTTGATGGAAATGGGACCTTTCCCTCCAGGCCTGAGGTTGAGACGGTTGAAATCCAAACAGCAATGACTAGAGGGACCCAAGGGTGCTGGGTTCAAGCCACCCAGTGGGTGGCAGGTACCAAGCATCCAGCCGTGGGTGCTGTGCCTGCCTAGGCCCATGTCAGGGAAGATCTGTGGGGTAGTTGTGGGGCTGTGTTGGGGCTCAGATCTTTTGGGGACTCCCTGGAGGAGCCAGTTTGGGCTTCTCTGCCCTTCCAGGGACCTGGCCGACCCTTGGGCACTACCAGTCGCTTCCTCCTTGTGCCTGTGCCCAGCAGCCAGCTTGGTCGCAGCCACATGCCCTTGCTGTCCCTTCCCTCCCTGCCCCACTTCTTCCCTATGGGGTTTCCCGGTGAGGAATGACCCCAGGACCCTGGTTCCCCAGACACAATGGGGCAGGTTCATCCTGCGAATGATGCCTGCGAATCGGGAAGCCTGGGCTCGTTCCCTGGCTCGGGACCGCGTGTCCTGGGCTGGGTGCGAGCAGACCCTGTGGACCTGGCGCGGTGGCCGTGCCGCCGGTGACGGGAGCCTCTCCGCAGGCGCTGCAGAGGCTGGCGAGCCAGTTCCTGAAGAGAGACTGGCAGCGGGGCCGCAGCGAAGCCAACGACTCGAGGTCGGCCAGCCGGGCAGGGTGACGAGGGGCTGGGGGTGGCCCACGGGCCGGGGGTGTGACCTCCCAGCTGGGAACGGAGCTGGTGGGACAGGGATTAACTCAGTGCAGGAGTGGAGTGCCCAGCAGTGCCTGAGACGCTCTCCCTCCAGGCTTGTAGCCCTGGGTCCCATCTCCAAGGATGTGGTACCCAACTCAAAAGGGACTGCAGGGAGGTGGTGGTGTCCTCAAAGCATCCCCCGAATCCCAGCCAAGACRTGTCTGGGAAGCAGGAAAGCCCTGCAGCAGGAGTTGTGGGAAGAGAGAAATGCTCTAGCCCCCTTGCTTGGCCCCCATGCCCACAGGAGCGTCGTTGCTGTCTGGAAGGGCGTCGTTGACGGTACCATGTACACCGGGCAGGCCCGTGTCRCCGCCTCCGAGAGCTATCGCACCATCGCCTTGGAGGCCTCCAAGACTGCCCGCGTGTCCAAGGAGCGGATGCTCAAGAAGGTATTTGAACAAAATGAGGACATGTGCCTCATGGCCAGGGAGAACGCACGGCCGGGGCAGTCCATGGCCCCTGTGCCCTAGCAAAGGCGACAGGGCCACCCGTGCTGGGAGTGACGCTTCCCCCTGCCCCAGAGCATTGAGCAGTTGCAGAAGGTGCAGGCAGAGCTGCTGGAGACAGTGAAGGAGCTGGGCAAGGCAAAGAAGCAGTTTACACACCTCCAACGGAGCAATGAGGTGGCCAAGGAGAAAGCTGCGGACGTGGAGGCCCGGTGAGCAGGGCAGGAGGAGGGCGCAGTGGGGCTCTGGCAGGAGCCAAGAGGACGGACCAYGAGCTTGTGTCTCCACCTCTCTCCCCAGGCTCCGGAAGAGTGACCGGGGGATATTTCACACCAAGGCCAGCCTGCAAAAGCTCAGTGCCAAGGTCAGCAACGCAAGGGCAGACGGAGCGTTGAGCACGCGGGCAGCAGCGGGGCTGGCCCRGAGCGGGACCGGGATGCAGGATAGCGTCCTCCACCTGGTCACCAGGCCACACTCTCCCTGTCCCGCAGTTCTCTGCGCAGCTGGCCGAGTACTCGAAGCAGCTCRCAGGGGTGCACAACGAGTACGTCCTCGCGCTGGTGTCCGCCAATGCCCACCTGGACCATTACTACCACGTGGAGTTGCCTGCGGTCATGGAGGTAAAAGCTGCTTCAACGCCCGCTTCTCTTACCAGTTTTGTCCCCTCTTCTGCTGGGAGTAGGGGTCTCTGAGCAACCATCCAAGGTCCTTGAGGAAACATCCCTCATGCTGGACAAAGGGTCCCACTGACCCTGTGATGCTGGGACCAGGTGCCAAGGGTGTCCCATATAAATGGCTGCCCTCTTCCCCATCTCAGAGCATTTCTTGGGCATGTGGCAGGTCCCTGGTGCCCAATCCGCAGGTTGTCCTTAGCCTGGGTTGGCAGGGATGTGTTCCCTGGTGGGAGGAGATGYGAGAGGCTGGATGATGAGCGGGTACGTGGGGTGCCCCACTGCTCGGCTCTGCGTGGGCACCACGGGTGCCGCAGGGTGTCCAGCCTCCCAGCCTGGTTCCCCCAGGCCCTGGACGGTGACCTTTACGAGCGGCTCCGCGACCACTTGACCTTGACCAGCCAGACGGAGATTGAGGTCTGCCAGGCCACGCAGGAGTGGTTCCAGCGCGTTGCGGAGTCATCCACGCAGGTAAAGCCACCCCTCCTTGGCCCGGGGCTGGGACTGGTTCCGCTGGTCCCTTTGCGTGCTGGACGCTGCTGGGATGAGTGAGCTCCTTATCTTGGTCCCTTGCATCTTCGCCCCACCAWTGCAGGTAAGCCGGGAGCAGAACCTCCTCCTCTTCCTCCAGGACCACACTACCTTCACATTAACACCAGAGCAGCGATTCCAGCTCGCCGGCATGGAGCAGGTACGCTGTGAGGCTAGTCTAGTGACCAGCTGAGCATGTGAGCCCTTCTCAGCGGGATCATCCTTGCCTAGATACGTCTCCTGGAACCGGAGAGCAACAGCACCAGTGAGAGCAGCCTGGAGAAGGAGGTGCGGCGCTGGGCCAACCGGGCGGCCAAGGACTACAAAATCAAGACACACAGCGAGCAGGTTGCTGCTTGGCATGGGTTGTCCTTCCTTGCAGAGCCGCTGTGCTCTGGAGGGGTCCTGTGAGATGACAAGGGCCTAGAGCCTCTTCCCTGATGCCCCTCCGTGACTGAGAGCCCCCGTGAGCTGTTGTCGTTCGTGCAGGTCCTGCAAAGGCTGGAGGCCAGGAGGCAGCAGGCGCCGGAGGCTGAGGTGGCCGCCATGGAGCGGCGGATGGAGGAAGTGAAAGAGAATATTCGGAAGGCTGAGGTGGGTCTGGTGGGGCAGAGGTGGGTCTGGTGGGGCAGAGCCCTATGTTCCCTGCTCCTTGAGCCCACTCCAGACTGGAGCTCCCCAAACCCAGGCTTGAGGGTGGCTTTGGGAACCCCATCCTGGGTAGCGGTTGTAGAGCATTGGCAGCTCCACAGACCTCGTCCAGCAGCACTAGCAGGTGCTGGGAGCTGGGCTGGGCGCACGGGTGGGCCGTGGGTGCCTTGTTGGACCACGAACACCACCCTCCTGTCCTATACGCGCACACACTTGGTCGCCAGCAGCGCGGCTCGCTCCGCTTCGTGCCGCAGCGGCGCGCGAGCCGGGGCCGGCGAGGCGGGCTGAGCCGCGGCCCCCGCGCAGGTGAGCAAGGTGAAGGCGGACGCGCGGCTGGCGCTGCTGCGCGCCGCGGGGCTCGACGTGGACACGTGGCTGGCGGGCGCCGTGGCGCAGGCGCTGGAGGAGCTGGAGCGCGAGCGCAGCCTCAGCGCGGCGCAGCAGGCCGAGAAGGAGGCGGCGGCGGCGGCGGTGAGAGCGGCCGGCAGCGGCTGGCGGGGACGGGGCGGCCGCCGCCGGCGCTGACCTGGGCTTTGCCGCTAGTCAGAAGAGTTCGACCTGGCGGAGTTTGATGACTACGACGACAGCGCCGAGGCCTTCGAGGACRGCGAGCCCGGCCCCGCTGGCCGCGTGTATCCTTACACGTGCCGGGTGATCTTTGGGTACCAGGTAAAGCTGTGGCTCTTCCCAAAGGCTCTCGGAGCCCTGCCCGGGGGCTGGTCCTGCAGCCTTCATCCGGCTGTGTGCTGTGTCCGCTGTGCCCCCAGGGCCGCCAGGCAGACGAGCTCTCCATCGCCCAGGGAGAGGAGCTGGAGGTCATYGAGGATGGCGATGTGGAGGAGTGGGTGAAGGTGGGTGAGAGCGGCCAGGGCGCGGGGCTGAGCAGCGCTGAGCGCCCTCCTCTGCCTGCCCTGAGCYCACCGAGCTCCCCGGCTTCCTTGTGCATCCCCGCTCATGAGAGCTATCCCAGCTTGGATGCTGGAGCGAAGCCAGCGGTGAGGTTCCAGCCTGGCTTCCCTGCTGGGCTTGCAATGTGCCTCCTGCCTCCGCAGGCCCGCAACAAGGCCGGCCAGGTGGGCTACGTGCCCGAGAAGTACCTGCTGTCGCTGGGCTGCGCGGGCAGCGACGCGGGCCCCGCTGCGGGCGGCGGCGGCCCTGCTGCGGGGCCCCTGGCCGCGGCGCTGCAGCGGCAGCTCTCCAGCATCATGGCCGCGGAGCTGGTCCTGGAGCCCGGAGGTGGGTGCCGGGGGGTGCCCGCGGTGCGGGGTGCGGGTTTGGTGCGTGCCAGCCCGGGCGCCGCTGCCTGCTCCCCGCAGCCTGGCTGGTGCGAGCCCTCTACGACTACGAGGGGCAGAGCCCCGAGGAGCTGAGCTTCCCCGAGGGCGCCATCATCCGCGTGCTGCCCCGCGCCGAGGGCGACGTGGACGACGGCTTCTGGACGGGAGACTTCAACGGCCGCGTTGGCGTCTTCCCCTCGCTCGTGGTGGAGGAGCTCACGGGGGCCGGGTGCTCTGCTGGGCAGGTGGGTCCTGCTGCGCCGGAGCTGACAAAGCCCACGTTGGCTAGGAGAGGACTTGCCCTGTCACCAAGGCATTGCCTRGGCACAGGACAGGGCTCCGTCTCTTACCCATCGTGGCTGGCACAGAGGTGGCCTCGTAATGGTGTCCCTGGGCCCTGCACCCCAATTAGGGCCCCTGCAGCCTGCAGAGCACCCGTTGCTTCAACCACCCTCATCTTTGTGTCCTCAGGAGCTGCCGTCGCCCTCCCCTCCGCCCTTCTCCCCTCCCGGCCTCGTGCCCAGCCTGCCCTCCAACCCCGCTCCAGAATTGCTGCTGGGAGGTGAGTGCTCCCGCGGGGCCAGGGAGGGGATGGGAGCCGTGGGGCACCCATTGAGCTCACCCAAGCCTGTCCCCACGCAGCGCCCGCCTGCAGGCAGGACGGCCCGGCCAGCRGCCAGAGCTCTCCCGACCTGTCCGCCGGCCGCCTCCGCCCGGTAAGTGCCTCTCCGGGGCTGCCCGTGGCACTGGCACGATGCTCCCCGCCCATCCCATCGGCTCTGGAAGGGCCGGGAATGGCGTGGGGRTGAACGGGGTCAGCACCGTCCTCTCGCCGCAGCTCCGGGCGCCTCCGCCGCCGCCCGGCAGAGCGGCCGACGCGGAGCCCGAGCGGCACCTGAGCTGAGACCAGCGCCGCTCCCGCTGCCCGCCGCCATCTGCGGAAGCCTCCCCGCGCGCCCGCCGCTCGGGGTGTGCTCCCCGGGCCTGCCCCGCGGCCCCCCGAGCTGGTCTCTCTGCGGGGGCCGCGTCCCGCTCTTGCTCCCGCAGTACTCGGCCTCGCTTAGGGAGCGCTCCCGTCTCCGTGCCCAGCAGCGGCCGCCCTGCTCCTGGGAGCCCCTTCACCAGAGCAAGGCCCCATCTCCCTGGCATCCTCGTCCGTGATCCCCTTGCCCACGATGCAGCCCAGCCCCCTGCCCTGGTTCCTTGGGCAATGCAAGGGCTGGGGGTGAGGACCCTCTCCGTCCGTGCTGGGCATCACCTGCCATGTAGCCCCCTTGAGACACGGGCACCCGGGGCAGCTCAGGGGCAGGCAGGAACCCCCCGACTGCTGTGCCCCAATAAAACCACTTCACTCTGCCCCTGTGTTCAGCAGCTTTTAATGGTTTTAGCTCGTCTATTTACAGTGCGGTTATAGACCAAAGCTTGCCCGGGGCCTGGCCGCTGCTGCTGCGTACGCTGGTGCCTCCATCTCCTCTGCTCCCCTGCGCAGCGGCCTGTCCTCCGCTGCTGCTCCTCGCAGGGGCACCTCCCGGGGATGGCCGCGAAGCTCCGGAGCTTGTGCCACCATCTCCCGGCTCCGGCCAGCGCTGGGGGTGCTCCGCGCCCTGCCGAAGGCTGCCCCGCGTCTCTGCTCGGTGGCCGCGGCACCAGCTCAGCTGGCCGGGGGGCCGGCACCGCTGCGGCCGGGGGGCCCCGTGGGGCTGTGCTCTGCGTTTCAGGTGCCGGCTGGTGGGGAGGTGCTGCCCCAGCCCCGCGCGGGCTCAGCCCCTGCCCTGCCACGGTCAAGCGCCGCCGTCGCTGCCCGTCCCTTCGGCCGCGGTTTGGCTCCGCTGCCGCCGTCCTTCCCGCAGCGCTGGCTGCCCGRGGGCCGCGGGCACTTGTCCGCAGGTCTGGGCCAGGGTGGTGCTGATGCCATCCTGCCCGTGCCAGGCCTGTGAGGGGCCCTCGTGGCGCCTGGTGTGTTGGGGGGTGGTCTCTGGGGCAAGTGCGGTGAGGGTGGGAGTCGGGTAACTACTGCCAATGGGATGAGGTCTGTCGCCGCGTGCGGTTGTCAGTTGAATGTCCGCGCGTCGCTCTGGCCATGCCAAGCACGTAGCTGCTCTCCCGGGCCGGGGCYGGCCGCCCGCGGCCCCGCCGCAGCGGGGCCCTGCGCCCGGCATGGGGGACGGCGGCCGCGCGGCGCCCGTGGGCCGCCCGAGCGGAGAGGAGCTGCGGGAGGAACAGGGGCTGAGGGGCAGCCCTTGGCCTCCCCTGCCGCCACCTCCTCTGGGGGACGCGCCAGGGCGCAGCCAGGCTTTGCCCAAGTCCCTTCTGCCCCCTTTTGGCTTGATCCCGGGCCCAACATGGCAACAGCAGCCTCCGAAGGCCTTCTGAGAGCAGCCGTGTCCAGCTCAGGCCTGGGATGTGGGCAAAGGAGCTCCAGGACTCTCCGTCCTCCAAGAGCTGGAGATCCTGCCCTTTGCAGCACCTGGAGGACCCTGTTTCCCTACTAGGAGCACAGAGGACCACAACCCACCCAGAAGGCCGTGGCTTTCCCYGGTTAAACCCCACGCTCTCCGAGGGCACCGCGGCCCGGGGGACACTTACGTCACACGGTTAGTCCTGGGTCCCGCACCATGGCGCTCGGCTCCTGCTGCGGAAGGAGAGACAAGCGCTTCAGGCACCATTCGGCGCTCCCGCAGGAGCAGCGTGAGTCACCACGGGACCAGGATGGAGGCTCTCGACCTACGAGACCTGGCCAAGGTGCTGGGAGCCAACAGAGCTGCCATCACTCTGCCCTTCCGAGTTGTCTTCYAGCAGGGCATCTGCAGGACCTGCTGGGCAGCAGCTCCCAGCCCTGGTTGGGACATAAGAGACTAGGGATAGGCCAAGCAGCTCCAGGGCTTGGTGGCAAACGTCTCCAAAAGGCCCCATCAGCACGTGGCCAACACAAAGCTATGGGCAATGCTGAGCAATGGCTGGCGGAGCAGGCCCAGCTCCCTCCAGGACCCAGGATCAAGCACGTTGGTGTCACTTGGGCTCTGTGCTCCCTCTTGGAGCTCCCTCCAGCCCACAGTTGTTCCTAGAGCCTCCTGCCCATCCCCAGCTCCGATCCAAAGGAAACCACAGAGCAGGATGTGATACGAGAGCCCAGCGCTGTCCTGGYACCACACAGGGGACAGATGAAGGGCAAAAAAACCCCTCCACATCCCCAAGCTTGCCCTGCAAGAGCCTCCTGTGCACATGAGAGGGACCACGACCGTCATCCCAACCTTGGTGGCCCATAGGAGGGAGAGCAGCCTGTTGTTGCCTCTCCGGAGAAGAGCTGGAGCCTCCAGGCTTTGTCCTGCACGGCTGCCTCGGGGCATCCAAACTCATGCCCAGCCTCCTTCCTCCTCCCAGCAGAGCCTGCGCTCAGCAGAGCCCCAGCCCTGCCTCTCTCCTCTTCCTCAGCACCGCGGGCTGCCGCAGCCTCATGCGAGCTGCACAGGTCTTGGGTTTGGAGCCTTCCGAGGTGCCCATCCTCCAGCTGGGGTGGCTCCAAGCCAAAGCCAACATCCCACAGCTGCGCTGGGCTGCGGAGCCCGTGGCCACAAGCAGAGCTACATCGGATTCCTCTGCTGCCGGCACCCAGGCACGGGACACGTCCTCCCCTGAGACACGGTAGCAGCCTCTAGACCCAACGAGTCCAAATTCCTCCAGCCCAGGAACCAAGAAGGGCGACCTGACAAATGCAGCAGGTTCCTCCTTAGCCTGTGTATAAATAGGGACCTTTCCCTTCCCCTCTCCTCGCCCCAGCTCGTGTTCCCACCGTGACTCTCTCCCGCTCCGTGGCACCTCCATGCCCCGCTGGCACACGCAGCCTGCACAGTGGACCTTGCACAGTGCTTGAGATATCCCCTAGGTACCCACTGCGGAAGGAGCTGTCACCTCCCTGCTGCCCCGAGCCCTGGGAAAGAGCCCACAGCCCCTGCCAGCCTGGGCAGCCTGGCAGATAAGGCAGCAAGAAGGACATAATCACTCTGTTGACACTGCCTGAAACATCAGAAAAGGGGAAGAGAAAACGCAATCGAGAATAGAAGGAAGTGGAAATAAGAGGAAGGCAGAACAGAAAGGCTGGACAAAACAGAACAGGTCCCACACCRCAGGCCCCGAGACGTGAGCTCCAACGTAAGCCTCTGCTTGCCTGTGGTCACTCTACAAGGCTTGGGCTGGTTGCTCAGCTTGGCAGTGCTAAGCACCCCAGGCCATGGTGAAGCTCTGCCATAAACCTTCAACCCTCTCGAACCCAGAGCACTCACGGAACAAGGACGAGTAGCAACCTACCTGCTGCCCCATGTCCTCTGCTCCGGGCTGCTTCCTGCTGGTGTAGCTGCTTCCCAGCTCTTCAGCTTGTGATGCTTCTTGTAGGCTCAGGCTCCCGTGAATATCTGACACTTCATCCGCTGAGCCCAGGCCGGCCTCCTCCTGGTAGATGCTGCCTCCCTGCCCTCCTTGCTCCACTGGCTCTCCCGGGGTGCTGGCGCTTGACCCTCCCAGTGTCTGGTGGCCCACGCGCTTCCTTTGGTGACTAGCGCTTCCAAGAGCAGTGTTAACATCCTGCAGCGAGCCCGGCATCCCAGGCCGCTTGCCAGCRGGTCTATTGCTGCGAGTGGCTGAGTTGGCTGGTGTGTTGGGGGCATTCGAGTAACTCTGCTCGGCGCCTTTGCCGCTCTGCGCAGCCTTCCGCAGGGCCCCGTTCTGCAGGCCGCCCGCGGGGACTGTCCCATTGCGAGCGCTCTCCTGCTGGAGCCGGTCGCTGCTGTGCTCTAACTCCTCCGTGCTGGGCTCCTTGCTGCCGTCGGGCAGGGGAGCGTCCTGCTGCTCATGGAAAGCGGGTTTCTTCCCGATGTGTGTCACACGAAACCTGGAACGGAGGACGGGCAGGTAAAAATCTCTTCCCTCCTGTCTCCCACCAATTTCTCCAGCTTGCCCACCGTTCCAGCCTCTGGTTCCCCCTCTTTAACACGCTCCAGTGCTGATCTCCAACCTTTGTGAGCCATTGTACACTACAGGCCCTACCTTTCCAGGGTCTGCTAACTTCCTCTGCTACATTATCAGCTAGATTTTGAACAAATTTACTGTGACTGCTAATCCACATCTTTCTTTTTAGAAGCACATGTGAATTTTTCAGGTATATGTGAATGCTGCCACTGTACTCCTGATCCCTTTTGCTCCTACACCTCATAGGCCTTTGAGTCCCTTCAAGTTGAACCAATCCCAGCCCTGCTCTGACCACCTGCCTTAGCACTGCTCTCCTATCCTGGAGTCACATTCCCATTGACCTGAACCCCTTTTGCTTTCATTTTGGCATGATCCCTGGAAAAAAAAGCACAACAAATAGGAAGTGAGGCAAAGAGAAGGATACAAAGGGTTTTCCAGACACTAGAAGTAGAGGAACCAACAGTCTAAGTTCCCCCAGCAATGAAACACTCTGAGACTTGATCAAACAGAAATACAGAAGCTCAGCTATAAATTCAGCAGCTGAAAAGCAAATCAGTTGAGCCTGGGAAGGAAGGAAGGGTTGATGATGTGGAAGCACATGAAGGAAGGACATGGACATTATGTCTAGTGACCAGCTACTCTATGTGGAAAAGAGAAGAAGAGCTTTCAACAGTCTGTACAGGCTGTGTAAAGCCAGGCTGGGCTAGGGTTTTGACAAGATACACTGTATTTGGGTGGAGAGTCCAAAAGCAAGGAGTTTTTTGGCTAAAATCTGCCAGAGCACATCTTGTGTACGTCCCCTTAGTGACATCTAAGAGGTTCACCCAGGTTCTGTGATGTACCAATAAACCAGCCTGCGGCCTGAGCTCAGAGCTCAGCAAGAGGAAGGAGAGCAACTGACACCCACAAAAGATGCATTTGTAACCTGAGGTGATCAYATTA